ACTAGTATTTAAAAAATCTGTATTTCACTAAACAATTTGCTCATTAACCATTTCTGAGTTTTTTTTCAAGCATCAAATTTGTATCTTAGAATAACCAGTTGTACAACAAATAAAAAAAATGTTTTCCTCCGGAGCTTGGCTTTCAATTGAAGTACAGTAATCTGTTTGTTAATAAATACTGTATATTGAATTACTGCGCTGCTTTGTTGATGTCTTGTTTCTAATGATTTTCATTGTGTATGTGATACATAATTGAGTTTTAAGACCTAAAGACCTGTATTCAATGAATACATACTGAGTGACATCAAAGAGGGGTGTGATTATCATTATTATTAAACCGTAGGATAGCTAACAATACGTGCAATCAAATGTATTAGTAGGTTATTTATTAAAACTCACCATAGAATTTCCTCGTTAATCACCATTAATCTTGTTACATACATAAATATGTGCAGAAAGAACGGGAAAAGTAGAACTTGTTATGGTCTTTGTTTCGCTCAATTAAATTACCAATTGAACTAATAATGCATTGAGGTTTAGAACAAGGAGATGTGGATTTGGCCAAGGTTTTGCCATATGCTTTGTAAGACTGTTAGTATATACTGCAGAAGAGCCGGTCATGATTGAGGACTATTAATATGATTGCAATCAGAATGAAGGGTGGAAGCATCGGTTACAAATAGCTTATGTCTTGGTTAGCTACTGTAAACCGGTGGGGGCGGGGGGAAAAGAAAAATGAATTTTTGTTTTCTCATTTAGGAAAATGGCTCTGACAAAAGTATCTAGACAGAAAAGAAATTTTTATTGGTGAATAAAAAAAAAAGCGAGCTAAAAAAGTAATAGAGGACACCCTTCGGTCTTTGTTCAGATCATGTGTTTGCACAGAAATTGTAAAGTTAAACACAATAAATTGATTTAAAATGCTTTATCATAATATTTTTGAGGAAGGATTTATTGTTATACTTCATGGAGGTGGGCGGCAGAAATAATAAAAAGCAAATAAAACGTTTTGAAATATGAGTTCTTTTGCTGAAGCAGGTACATATAAATGCTAAAAGTGCCAAAAAATATATGAGCAAGACTATTGGCAATATTGCCTACTAGTTTAATGTATAACAATCCCCACACAAAACTATTTTTACCCTCTTTGCTATGGTTTAATGATCAATATTTACATAGAATTATATGGAGTTGTGAAGCTTTATGTAGCTACATTAAATATAACATTATTTCTACAATTTTACGAGTTTCCATATAATATTAATTATTTTTACATAATGAGTATGTTTTTATGATAACAGAAGGCAGGATTTTTTTCAAATTGAAAGTGTCTTGAATGAGCGGCTAAAAGAATTAAAAGTTAGGGGGTTTACCAAATTAAAATATAAATTAAAAATACACTGATTTTTTTCAAGTACATGGCCTAATGAAAAATAGATAGCATCTCTCTCTATAGTAACCCCGTTTGAATAAGACACCTGTGGGCATGTTTACCCACATCTGCCAAAGTAATTTGCGCTTTGTGTTTCTCTATTCAGATTTCCCACTAAACCCGTCTGCCATGTGCCGCATCCATTTATTCAAGATTATATTCTCATGATCTTGAATTAGAACAAAAGTTAAAATCTTGACTGTAGTCTAGTGTTTATATTTCTTACATTACTCCTAATCTCCTTCGTATTGATTGTATTTTTCCCGTCCGATGATGAAGTGTGCACTCGAAACGCTTCAACGAACACAAGGAGAAATGAATTGTTGGTCCACAAGAAACATAAAAGATAACATATGTAGTCTGGATTTGGCCAGTATTATATTGAATATCTCTATTTATTCTAAATTAAGACGATGATAATAACAGTCATATTTGGACCTGCTGTTGGTGTTTATTGCTGTCTTTGCAGATTCCGTTCAGATTAATATTGATCAATACAACAATGTTACATTATAATGTACGTGTTTAACACAAAGATTAAACTGTACCGTTAAAGTAATATTTGGATTGCTATACAAGTATAGTATTCAATACATAATATTTAAATAATAATATTTTGGATATGCATTTGAAAAACATTATGAGAAAAAAAATTCATGTTAATTAGCAGTCAACTATGTGTAAAAAATTTCATTTATATTTCAACATTTAAATTGGCTAGTAAACAATCTAATGATTTTGTAGCCAAAATTTGTTTTGATTTAATCAGAGATTTCATTGGGAAAAGGTTAATAAAAAGTTCTTGTAAATCTCGAGAGCTCCGATGAGTATAATAAAGGCAGAGCTAAAAACTATCTAAAGGTGCAGTGGTACCACCAAAACAAAACAATCTATTCTAAAACTGTACACAAAATTTGATGTTTTTAACATTTGTATAACAGATTTCTACAGAAGTTCTGTCTAATTGGATTTTTCAGATAATCACTATTTTTTAGGCAAATTTTGGTTTTAGATTAATGGATAATCTGTTTATTATTCCTGGATTTTTAAACCTTATTAACATGAGATCCAAGCCAGTTATTAGTAGACCAAAAAAAATTATGCCCAAGGTAAGAATTAATCCAAATTTAGCAAACAAGTGTAATAGACCTGCTAACGGTGGACAAGCAAAACCAGTTCAAATTTCATAATTAGTATGTTATTGTGTGCATGTACGCCCTAGTTAATTGTCTTGAGATTTCAACCTATTGTTAACCTAATTGAATTAAGTCGTTGTGCACTAAAACCAGCATTGAGTTCTGCTATAACACATCTGTCTAGTTAGTGGCTTTTGAAGCATAGCATAATGTACATTAGAGCATGATGATTGTTGAGTCCTTGTACTTGTTCAATCTGGTTGACCACCAGTTAAGATTTCAGTCTCCATTAATTTCAAGTGGTCCCATCATGGAGGTAGTAGTTTGCTTTCCTAGTTTACTGTGATATCAATCATGTGTGTGGCTGCTGGCTTCCGGTGGGTGACAGGGGTCTTTAAAGAAGTTTTGTTCTGTAGCATGGTCACGATAGGGCTAGTGATTATAAGGAGGATGATTATGGCAACAATATGGAAAATAATGTTTAATATTTGTGATAGTGATTAAACAAAGTGTCATGGTTGTTTCTGGCAACAATATTAATAATAATGTTGATTATATTTTTAAAAGTGATTAAATAAGTATTGTGGTTATTTTTGTGTTCTTGCCTAGATTTTTTCAAATTCATTAATGTAATCATTAAAATTGGTTAATTATATTTCAGTTTGTATGTACTTAAATAATTCTTTTTATTGTCATTTTTTTTTACTCTGGTCTTATATTCTTATTATTTCTATTCTCATATAGCTACAATTTTTGTGAAATTATTATTTTTGATAAAGTAAGCCTATATTATAAATGGTAATAATAATATATTATGCTTTCTTGCACAATATCTATACTAATTTATCAATATTAAATTACTTTTTTTTACTTACTCTACAGATTTATTTATTTACTTATTTTTTATGTAATATTCATTTACGTTTTAATGTATTTATTTGCTAATGTTTGTGTATTTGTTTGCACACATGTGTGTATTTATTTATTATTATTTATTCTGTCATTCACTCTATATTTACTTCTGTATTTTGTTGTTAATATATTTCATTATTTATTGGTTCATTCATAATTTCTTTCAGGGAGATGCACTTTGCAAAGACTGTTTCTACTATGCATTTGAAACAGAAATTCATCAAACAATAATTGATGCCAAGTTATTCAACCGTGGAGAAACTGTAGCAGTCGGAGCTTCTGGTGGTAAAGGTATCAATCTTTTATTTTTTTTATTTTGTTTAAAAAAATTATTAATTTAAAAAAAAAGTTTTGTTCTGACCAAGTTGTATTTTTTTTGTCAACTTTCTCTGGTATTATTATGTATTAAAATCTTGGAATATATTTTTCATCAAAATCATTTTATATTATGTCATATGTTTTATTAATTTTCTTATGGAGACTAGAGGAAATGTTGCAGCTCCTGAATTGTTAGCAATATTATTCATTTGTTCTTATTATTTAGTTTTATCTCAAATAACTTACTAATATTGGTGGCACATACTGCTATGTACTTGTTCGGAAATGTGTTTTGAGAGAAAAAAGGATAACTCCTTTTAATAATCAACCATTTGCACTCAAGTCAGTTTCAGCTTTTCATAGACAGGAGAACATGTAGATTGCAACAATTTCAGAATCAGTTTTGAAAATGCATTGCATTTGTAAACATTTTTAACATTCAAGGTGGGTGGTAAATTCTTCCTAATCCTCTTTTCCACATGCCCCTTCATCCTCTTGATCCACAACTCACTAATGCTAATATTACTGCAATACTGTTATTTTATTTTACAGATTCTACAGTGTTAGCACATGTACTAAAAGTGTTGAATGAACGTTATGACTATGGATTGAATCTTATTCTGCTGTCCGTGGATGAAGGCATCAGTGGCTATAGGGATGATTCTCTTGAGGTTAGTATTACATAAACAGGAAAAAAAAAAGTTAGGAAAAAGAAAATAGAATAAAATACAGTACCTATGCATAATCTGGGATGGAGAAACCAATCATGTCATCAACAGTTTCAAGATGATTTAAGAATGACACCTATAAACAGAACATTTCATCTGTATGTAAATAGAAAAGTATACCATATTAATTCCTTAAATTTTTTTGGCAGAATTTTGAGATGAGATTGTTAAAGAAATGACCATATTAATTCCTTACATTTTTTTGGCAGAATTTTGGGATGAAATGTAAATTATGGTAATTAAAATTTTGAACCTGTAATGGTTACAATACAAGACAACAATTGCTTTTAGCTGTATCAATCAATCAATCTTGAATCCTATATTTACATAGAGCCTCAATTAATTTTTCTCTTCTATGCCATCTTTTTGTGCCACTTCTAAATGTTGTTTTTATCCACATTTTGTATTGGCCTACCATGAGCTCACTCCCCTTCCTATGCTTGTCAAGTGAGCACAAACTTCACCAAACCTGCACATCATATCTATATTTACATGCGGCCTCAATTAATTTCTCTGTTCTGTGTCATCTTTTTTGTGCCACTTTAAAATATTTTTTTTTGTCCACATCTGTCTTGGCCTACCATGAGCTCACTCCTCCTTCCATGTGATTATGAAGTGGGCGCAAACTTCACTACACCTGTACATCATATCTTAATTCAAATGAATAATGATTCTTTTGTTTTCATTTCAGACAGTAAAGCGTAATCAGCAACAGTATGATTTACCTTTGAAGATAGTTTCCTATGAGGTTGGTAACATTAGAATAGAAAGAAGTATAGCCTTTTATTTACAAATTGTGTGCTCTTTTCAAAGGTTTAGTAGTTTATTAAAATTATTAATTTATTATTTCTGTCCAGGAACTGTATGGATGGACAATGGATAAGATTGTTGAAAAGATTGGATTGAAGAATAATTGTGAGTGGAATTTTGTTTATAGTTTGTCTTATATTTTCTTACATTCACAAAATAATTTGATAACTATGCTTGTTTCAAAAATAAGATAATTCTATATTGATTTTTTTTGTGTTTTTCACAAGCAAGTAACTAATCAATTATCCATAAACAAGATCTGTTTTGCATTTTTTCTTCATTTTTGTTGAGGTACATTTTGTGGTGTGTTTAGAAGACAAGCCCTTGATAGGGGTGCAATACTTGTGAAGGCTGACAAAATTGTGACAGGTATGGTTGTCAAGGGCAAACTCAATGTTAGTCAAATGCAGAACTCTTTTTCTTAGATCTGTTGTGTAAATGTACATGTTTTATAGAATACGTTATTTGTAATCTATTGTGATATTCTGGGCTTTCTTTTGAGACTTTATGTATACTCCTGGGTTAAAAAAAAAGACAAATGCAGATGAAGTGTCTTGCACAAGGACGCAAGCATTGTGACCTCCATCGGTCTCAAACCTTCAACCTTTCAATTGAAAGCCTTACAGGCCTTACATTTATCTCCTACCAATAATTCCTTTTCGTCTTCGCAACCCACTTCAACATATATCACTGCACTCGGACAAACAGCTACAAAGCTATGAAGTATATGGAGGTTTCTAACCAGGCTTTGTATTGTTTCTTCCATAGGTCACAATGCAGATGATATAGCAGAAACAGTATTAATGAATGGTAAGTGTGAATTTTATGTCTAAATGTCTAAATTATCAATTTTTTTGCACATTTTTTACATTAAATTAAAGACATGCAGAATAAAAATATATCTTTAAATACTGTATGTAATAAACAACAAGAAAAATAACAGTAGGTATGTATATTAAGTTCTGCCTTTGACAAAAACTGTTGTATGCCCATATATAGTCATGATGTGCCTATAGGGCTTTCAATTTTAGTCAATCATTGTAATTATTTTGTAATTAATTTTCAACAACCAGGGGAAATTAGTAAACTTCAACACCATAGAACCCAGTCACACACATTATATCAGCCAGGGCAGCCTTAACTACAGCCGACTCAAAACGACTGTTCCCTTCGCGGTTGTTGCTATATTTTTACTATATTATGATTGTTTATTTGTTATCAAAATATTATTATGAAATATATTTCCCCATGAATTCAGTTAACCTCAAATCAAAAATGCCTTAACATTTTTTTTTACTAGTTCTACGTGGGGATATTGCCAGACTTAGACGTTGTACAGCAATAACAACAGTGAGTAATTTGGGTTTATAAATCTTAACTTTAGAGTTAAACAATCAAATTTTCTTTCAAAATTGCTGTAATTTATATTCAGTTGCTTCAGTAATAAAGCAGTGATGTTCACAGATATTTAGAATGATATTTATTATTTGGTTACAATTATTTGGTATTGATTTATAAAAACATTATGAACAATTGTTGCAAATTGCATAATTTTCTTTAAATTACAGTGCTTCTATTTCTTACCTTTCTCAACAGGGCACAGAAGGGTTTTTACCCAGATGCAAACCTTTTAAATATACATATGAGAAAGAGATTGTTATGTAAGTAATTGGAAAAATATATTTCTGTTAAAATCGATGTGGAAATGCAAGTACTATCAAAATTCCTTTTTTTTTTTACAAAGCAATTACAAGATATGATAGAGATACATAAATATAAAAGAAACATAATTATTTAATTGATTCAAATTCCAATCCTCATATTAAACTACAGAGTATTATTAGAATATGTACAAAATTCAAGAATACAGAAGAAATCTTGGCACTGAGTATTGTTTTTTTTTTTCTTTTTGTATTCATATAGGTATGCATACTTTAAAAAACTTGATTACTTTTCAACTGAATGTATTTATTCTCCAAATGCTTACCGTGGCCATGCTCGAACATTTTTAAAAGATTTGGAAAAAATTCGACCAAGTTCAATCATAGGTAAAGTATGATCAAGATTTAGTTTCTACTGATTCCAGCTTGAGTCCTGTCTAGGCCGGATACGAGGAGATGCTGTGCAGAGAAAACAAGAAATATTTTCCATGATTTGATAATCGTCTTTGTTTTGGTTTGCTTGTTCTACCTCTATTTGGGGTCCCAAAATCACATTTATTATTGCAAGTTTATAATTTAGCAATTGTTCCTCAAATGTTATGTCACATCTGTGTCAAGGTACATGTAAAAAGCCCTCTACGGACCATCAAATTTTATTTGACGGAAACATGTGACATGCCTAAATATGGTCATGATGACATCACATCATCACCATATACTGTATAGGCACATCATGACTATATATGGGCATACAACAGCTTTTGAGTCAAAGAAAATTTGATAGTCTGGACAGAGCATAAGATTTTCATGTATACTGTGTATTATCCATGTAAGAAAAGAGACGTTGCAGAGGCCTGCAAAACTCATGGAACACAGCCTATCTTTTACTGTGCCCGCACATGTCTTCACTATCTGTGTATCAATTCATTTAGTCGTGTGAAGATGACTGTTACTTTGGGAGTCTCCCGGAGATCAGGATGGCCTGCTGCACTCCCGCAAGCAAGAAGAATCTCCCAGAAAAAAACTAGTCTCATACAAATTCATGATATTTGCATGTTTTTACTACTGTATTATAAATTGTCTCCCGGAAGTCAGTGCCACTATGAACAGCAAAATGTATTTAGATGTGTTAATAAAGCTCAGCAACAGGTCTCTCGGAAGTGACTTCTTCCAACTTGATTGTTCAAGTTGGATTTCTAGGAAGAAAGGGAATTCTTGGCTCTTGTCAGCACTTCTTCTACAAGATGAAACATTTCAATGACTTTCTGTGAATTCTTTTTTCAGACATCATTCATTCTGGTGAGAGTTTATCAATTAAGAAAGATGTAAAGATGCCAACTCAAGGAACTTGTAACCAGTGCGGATATATCTCCAGTCATACAGTCTGCAAGGCCTGCGTGTTGTTAGAAGGCCTCAACAAAGGACTACCAAAGTAAGATAACGTGCAGCTTTGATGGTTTTAGGCTCTCGCCCTGTTAAGTTATACCAGAGCGGCAGACACTTTATAACCCATTATTCTCAAACCTCTACCATGGACTATATGTAACTTGGACATTTTTAAACCTTGAACGTCTGGATTGCAAATTATTTGCTTAGAGGAAAATCATGATTTTGAAAAATCTAGGTTACCAAATGTTGACACCCCATAATACTGGGCAGGGTCATGGGTTCAGGCATGCATGAATTGAAAGACCAATATCATATGGTCTCGTTAAAACTCAATAAAAACTCCAAAGCACCAATATACAGTAAATCATTCCATTAATCGTGTGCGGCCACCAACCTTCACTCGTTGCTGGTTTTAGATTACAATGTGAGTAGATTTTGTGCCGCCTGCTATAATTAAGTTAATTTTTTTTTTCAATTTTAATTATTCAGCTTTTGATTGGCAGCAGAATAGATAGCAACTGAATTACCTCAAATTTACAATGTAAAAAGACCAAACAATAAAAGCAATACAATTCAAAACACACTAAATACACTTTTGATTAAAATTATCAGGTAGACCTTCGAAGTAATTACATATTAAAATATAATAAAACAAACTTACGAATGAAGACACTAGTAAAAAGGTAAACATTAAAATTGGAGGAAAATGAATAAAAATGTATTTGAGGACACAAAAATACAAAAAAAGACACAAGAAAAACATATTAACTTGGGCTACTTTTCAATACTAGATATTCAGTTGTAATGATATAGATGCAACAGTTATCAACATTTTCACCTCTGTACAAAGAGTACTTTTTTTTTCAATTTGTGTTTATTTTTTGTCTTTGCAGACTTGCTATAGGAAAGTCACACAAGGCCAGTAAAAAGGTACCATAAGTTTTTTTTTAAAAGGACATCTCAAAAAAAGACATCATAATCATTAATTGAACAAACTTTTACCTTAGTAAGCATCAATTTTAATGTATCTAACCTTACCTTGTTAGTCCTTCCTTATATTTACAGCTTGGCCTGGGATTATTACCAGTCCAAATATGAAGACAAAGAGCATGAAGAAAAACAGCATCAAGAAAATCAGCATGAAGAAATACAGCATCAGGAAAAGGACCATCAGGAAAGCAACACCAGGAAAAGGAGCATCAGGAAAGCAACACCAGGAAAAGGAGCATCAGGAAAAACAACATCAGGAAAAGGAGCATCAGGAAAAACAACATCAGGAAAAACAACATCAAGAAAAACAGCATTAAGAAACACAGCATCAAGAAAAACAGCATCAAGAAACACAGCATCAAGAAACACAACATCAAGAAACACAGCATCAAGAAACACAGCATCAAGAAACACAGCATTAAGAAACAGCATCAAGAAAGAAACACAGCATCAAGAAAGAAACACAGCATCAAGAAACACAGCATCATGAAACACAGTATTAAGAAACAGCATCAAGAAACACAGCATCAAGAAAGAAACACAGCATCAAGAAACACAGCATCATGATACGCAGCATCAAGAAACACAGCATCAAGAAATACAACATCAAGAAACACAGCATCAAGAAATATCAAGAAATGCAGCATCAAAAAACACAGCATCAAGAAACACAGCATCAAGAATCCTCAATAAAAGACACATTTTTGTGAAGCTAGCTGTGTGCTTTGGACATATATTCTTATTTTTATTATTGATATATTAGCAATATTATTTTTAAAATTGTTTTTAATATATTTATTGTTTGCATCTGTAATGTTTGAAAAATTGTTCTCTTTAATTGTCTTCAGCGGTGGTCTCCTATAGTAGACTTCTATAAAAATCTTAATTTAAAATCAAGGTTTGAAATAGTATAGTGAATGAGATTTTTCATTCAATTATCTTATTTCTCACCAAAGCCTCTTCTGCAACTATCTCTTATGCAAATTTTGAGATTTTTCTAGTGCAAAGTAATGTAGAGGTTGTATTGTGACTACTTGTTGAGCACTGGATGCAGAACCAACACAAATTTATCAACTGATATTTCACAGAATGAAAATTAAAGTTGAAGATAACGTAGATGCGAGTTTTTGAAGGCATCTTCAAAATAAATCTTTATTCTATAAAATATCTGGTGAACTGCATTAATGGAATAACATACAGTTACTTTAATCTCTTTCCTAACATTATAGGCTTTGCAGAACATTGTTAATCTTGCCTTCCTAGGAAACACAAACATGTACACATACGCTACTCTACACAGAGGTGTGCGCGAATTCATGTCCTAGAGAGCTGCCCTAATTCTCAGCTCTCAGTTTCACAACTATTTCTTCATCTGATTCTCAAGGTTATGGAGGCCATGTACACTGTTTATATGCATTTCAGTAAAAAGATAACTTTATTATATGGTGCGAATTTATGTCAGTTTTCACAGCCCATTGCCCAACACTTCTTCATGATGGACTTAAATGGAATAGAGTTGACTGCTGCTCTATTTTAATTCATATTGACGTACTGTACTGCATACAGAAGGTCGTTAATTGTGATTCTAGGAGGAAAGAAGTATGAACATTGGCAATCTTGTAGACCTACTTTGGGGCTTGCCATCCTAAAACAACAGCAGTGACTAAAATTTGAAAATTGACTTTTTTAAATATTCTTATTCTCCACATAATAAAGCTTTGAAGTTATAGGTTATTTACTGGAATTAACTTATGCCAAAGCTGAGTAAAGGTATTAATGCTTCTCTGTACTTAAGTATACAACACTGCAAAATTTTTATGCTAAGTACTCAGTTTAACATTATTTTAACAACAGAACGCTGGGTTTGGGATGGCATGCCTATGTTTACAAATTTGAGTGCATTAATTTGTAGGGTTATTCAATATAAAAACATTGTTGTTACTTCAGTAAATTATAAAAAATAACGTTTTATATATATGATTGGAATTTGTGTTCAATAAAATTAAAACACAGTACGGTATTTAAAATGTTTTCAATCGTGTACAATGTTTGTTTATTCACAATAGGCTAACAATGCATACAACGGAAATGGGTTTTTATAATAATTATAATGGGATATGGACTCATGTATAGAGTTATAGATAATTAAAATATTTGGAACGTAATATTATCCAGTAATTGTAATAGTATAGAAATTTGGAAAAAAAGATAAAATGTTTGCGTTTTTTAACACCTCACCAAAAGCAACCAGCTAAATTTTTAATGTTGCCAAGACTGACAAGGTTTTCTGTTGAAAAATTCGCAGCGTGTAACACTATCCTAATAACTTAGGATAGATTCAATTTTTTTTAAAGTAAGACTCTGGAGGAAATATAAAAAAGTTTATGTTTATATTCTGAATATTTAAAAAGGTGGGGGGAGGGGTGGGTGGAAAAGGGGTGGTTATGCCCCAGTTTTAAAATATTTTAAAATATTCAAAAAATTATATTAACCACTTCCAAGTTTTTCGTCAAATATGCTGTTTGAGTTTGAAAATCAGTTTTGCAACATAGGCCCTACCTAACATTCCTCCTGAGCCTGGCTTTAAAAATCGCTTAACATCGAACTTTACGCAAGTCTAAACATCATAGCATTCACATGCAAAGTCTTGGCCTCTATTGATCTGTATTAGTTAATTATACAATAAAATACGCCTATGTAATGCCAAGTAAACATTCATCAGTTATCGCCGCCCACGGCCCGAGTCATTTTTTTCCATTCTGTTTTTCAAATTCTTCTGTTGCTATGAGGGTAAACAAAAGTGGAAAAGAAACTATTTTTTACCCTTGCTTAAATATTGAAATATAATAATTCAGTCATAGATAAATCATTCTTTCTTTCTATTTATTGGAAGGTGCATTGTAAGTCAATCGTAAGTTGAACATATTACCTATCAATTGTATACTAAAGTTAACAACTACTAGAGAACAAAATATAACACCCGCTCTCGGCATCGAACACAGAAGTAAGCAAGATGGTGCAATGTTTTGATTGTTTCACGCATGCGTATTAAAACTTTAAAGTACACGTCGCCTAGCAACGTGACTCGCTTGAGTGGAGTTTGCAATCTTTTTCAACCTTCCTTATTCAGGACGGTGGACTGACTTCGTTGGGCCTAGCCTATGTTTAGGCCTGCTCCCTTCCAGTGATGAAAACATTATTAAGAATCAGCAGATGTTAAGCAGTAGTAATACCTTATGAAGGTAATTACATTTAAAACTACACCCTCTCATTAACAAAATTGAATAATTTTAACCACCAGCCAGGGCCAGTCACTTTTGTCCAGTCAGGGGCAGGAGGCTGGGTGCTGGCTCATCTGCTGTGATGATATGGGTCCTAGGCCTGGCGGACATATAGTTGTATGTATAGGATAGGCCTAGGTTTAGCATACTTACTTGTTTAACTACTAATATACTATAATCTCCTCCTTGTCATTTATTTCAATGATGTTATCCTCTCCTGCCTAGCCCTAGCTAGGCTAGACTACTCCAGAAAGCTTCTTTATTTAGACTTTGTGTCTTCCTTTTATTTTATGTATTGAAATGGAATAAGAGGGCCTAGGCCCCTAAGCTGGGTAGGCCTAGCTTCTAGGTAGTAGTAGTAGTAGAAGTGATTTCAGATGAATACATTTGGATTGAATGGCTTGATTTTATATGGTTTTATTATTATATGTTTGCATTTTTATTGAGATGTGTGTTCAAATTATCTATTATAATTTAGTACAAAGTCCAGGCCATAACATAAAAATAATAAAATAATACTAGGGCCTATATATAAAATTAATTAATTATAGTATTAATGCTAATAGTATTATTACTGCTGTGAAGAGACGTAATACAAATATATGTTTTCAATAGGGAAGTAGGCCTTAAAAGGCTAGGACACTGATTCTCAAAATGAAGAAGAAAAAGGAAAAGTCAGGAAAATCAGCAGTTCGCACCAAGTCGATAACAATCCAGTCGTACGATGAAACACCTAACAGATTCAAATCCAAAATGGACCCCATCAACAATGTGGAACTGCGGGAGAATTTCCTAGAGCACGGTCGAATTCCTAAGTTCCAAATCCGTGCATCGCAAAATCTCCGTGCTCGACACATAGATATAAAGTTTGATTTACTATCAGAGGCTACAGCGATCTTGGAAAAAGTGTGCCGTTCATTTGGAAGTGGCGATGCATTCATTGAGAAAGCTTTTGGAGATGAAATAACAGTAGAGGATGCAACTGAACAACTCAAAACCTATCTGTACAAAAACAATTGTAATAACCAAGTAAAAATCTGCTGGAGTAAAGATTTAGTTTGCAGGTACTGTAAATGGATACATAAATATTTAGCTTGAAATGTTTTAAGCTTATACAAAGATACTAGAAACACAAGATAGAGTTCTCCACAGAAAAAAAGTGTTCCACCAAAATGCATGGTGGGAATACAAACAGTGGGGCGTCGAGTACGGCTGGATCTAAAAATCTTCTGCCAAATTTTACATCACGGCGAATACATAACCTCTTTTGGCGGCCCCTTTGGTGGAGGTAGACATTGTTGCTACCCATAAGATACAAACAAGTAGGCAAAAATAAAAGAATAAAATGACAGACACAAAAGTGTAGAACCGGACTGTGATTAGTGATCAAGTTTCCATCATTAGCGGATATTAGCCTAAGAGAAGGGGGCCACGTACGTCTGGATTTATTTAGCAAACAGAAGGGCGCCCTGTACGTCTGGATGTGAACTGTATAAATGTGTGTAAATTGCTATGTTGAAAACTGAAGGGCGTCGCTTACAACTGGATTTGCGTGTAAGATGTGACGTATATACGCCTCACTTTTGCTATGCGAGTGCTCTATTTATTGTATTTCTAGTATCTTTGGCTTATACCATAAAGAAAATAGAACAGACAAAATAACTAAATTAAAATACGTAGGACAAGATTTGCTGTTGTAATGACAGTGCCAACATATTTCATTGTATTCATTTATTTTTTAGACTTTATACATTTATTGTCGATTATGATGATGTTAACAGTTACTCATTACAGGCATCTATTATTTACAACTTCACACTACTAATTAAAGGTATAACTATTATATTATATACCTTTTTCAAAATACATAGTATGAGAGACGTAAATTTCACTTTGATTTCAGTGGTAAGATGTGTTGGTATGGGCCATGCATCCAAGCTAATCGTCCAGAAGCGAGGTCATTCAGTCTGTTGCTACAAAATTCGAAGGAGAACATGTTCATACGAGAAAGAGGAATCAAGTGTCTTGCTGACCATGAAGTTGGTACACACTATGTATCCTTATTATTGAGTATCGTAATCATCATCTTCATCAAAATACAGTTCACCCTTCTATTTGGGACCACCTTTGGGACATTAAAATGTGGAGTGACCTCAGGGTTTGGTCTCCAAATAGAGGGTTACAGTAGCTCAGTGTTTAAATATTGAAGTTGTATGACACTGAATAACTGGTCTCTAATTTGAGGGGTTTTAGAATTAAAAGGGTGTCAAATTGGGGAAGGAGTATGAACTTTACAATCACAATCCAGCTGGGGCATAGGCTGGTTTCAGCTTGGGGTGTGAAAATTGTGAGAGCAGAAAAAGACCCCTATTTTCAGTGAAAACTTATTGGTTATTTTTGGTATTTTAACCAACTTAGTAGAACTATTTCTCCCCCCCCCCAAAAAAAAAAACACACAGTTTATGCCCATGCAATCAATAGACCAAAAGAAAATGTTGTGTTGCCCATGCTCAAGAACAGTAACATTTTGTTTTTATTATTCTTGCTATTAATAAATTATTATTATTATTGTTGGTATACTTATTTTTCATTATTATCTGTACTATACTTCCTTAATGATCTTGCTAAGCTCCGTATGTACAACGATGGATTGCAACCATGGTTTTCACAGCGACAACAATTTGGAATTGGCGGCTTAAGATCCAAGAAACTGCTGGAGACGGAGGAAGGGCTTGCCACTATAAATACTTTACTGAAGGCAAAGCATCAGTTACTATGGAAACCTGCATTGCTTTACTGTAAGAGCATTTTTAACATATTCAATAATATCCTATGAATATAGATTAACAGTTCTGACTAAGGTAAAGGGCTATCAAATTTTGTTTATAGATACATATATTTAATCAATTGTATCTGTACTTAGAGATATGGATGAATACTCTAGAAGTGTTCCCACCTAAATCCCTGTCCAGGCAATCAAATTTTATTTGGCAAGAACATGTAAATATGGTCATGGTGACTGATGACATCACATCATTACCATATATGGACATATCATGACTTTATATGGGCATACAACACTTTTTGTGAAATAAAATTTGATAATCTGGAGCTGAATTGATATTGTAGTACAAATTTGTTTTTTTTTTGTATGTTAGATACTGCATGCAAGTCTTTGGAGATGTCATTCCAGCAGCTGTATGATCATCTAGGCCTGTATGTGAAGGATTCAAACTATCGCTGGAAGCTGGTGATGAGGGTAAAGAGAGTGCTTGATGATGTCAACGATCTAGGTGGCTATGGCAAGGATCAGTGCTATTTCACAGGTGAGGACTACCATCACAATACCCAACTGGCCCACCCACTGGCTGTTCCCCCATGATATCTGTTCCTCCATTTTCTCATTTTGATTTGATTTTCAGTCTCATATTTATTGATCTTCTGTAGGTGCTGTGCAACTTTTACGAAGCATTGATGAAATTGACTTTCCACTGCTGTATAGTGGACGGATCTGTGTGGAAGAACTGCCTCGTGTACGACGACTTGCTCGCTTGGAGTGCATCAAGCTACCAAGCTTTCTTCAGGATGTTACGAAGTACAAAAAAGAGCTGTGGAACATTGCTGTGATGAATGATCTAATAGCTAAAGAGAAGGTGCCAGTTAAGAGACGTACAAACATCCACAAAAGAAATGTCTCAGTCAAGATAACCTCTGTCAAAAAACCTCCTAAGTTAATTAATAATCATCATGTGACAAAGGCTCTTCACCATCGAATCACTCCTCCATCGTCGTCATTTATATCACCCATTCCTTATTCGCCTCATAAATGGATACTTTCAAAGCGCCCTCGCTCTTGCCCAAATAACTTACCAGCACCCAAGAAGAATCTGCCACAATGGAAATACTGAGCTAAAAATGTCTTTCTAGAAAATATTTGTGGAATATCGTATAAATTTTTAATATCCTTCCTTCTTTTGTTTTGCAGTTTTGCATCAAATATATTTTCAATTTGTGTTTAAATTTATATTATACATTATTGTACACTTGTGGAACATCAAGCAATATATATTTATAAACTACTGTAGTATGTAAAACATTCATGTGAATAGAACAAGTATAAAGAAATGAAAACATTCATGAACATGATATATGTATATTCACATTTATGAAATTATGTGAATTGAATATTGTTATATATATTTTGAAGGTAAATCCTGTATATCTCTGATCTAAACCAATTATATATATATATGGTAAACCTGTGTATACTGTCTCTCTAAATAAAGATACATATTATAACCCAATGCAAAACAATCATGGGAAAAAAGCAAGTATAAAATAAATAATGGAATTGAAATTATATTCATTTAATAAATGATGTGAAGTGAATTTTATATAAAATTATAATTTTTAAACATAAGACATGAATTAAGCAATGCAAGACTGTCAATTCATGCAATCAAGTACATATTATTAATATTATTATTAAATCATTATTATTATTTAAATTATTACTCTAGGATTTATTATTATGTTTTTGTTATTTTAGTTGTGGTCAAGTGATGTGACCTTGATATGATTAGAAGCAAAAAATTGCACTTTTTAAAATTGAAAAAAGCCTAAAGCTGACCAATTTAAATGCAGAAATTATCTACTCTACTTTTTGAAACAGCATCCATTTGGAAGCTGTAATTAGGGTAAATTACGTTTAGATATCGAATAATACATTTATTATGGTTTTATAAAGTTGTTGTTTTATATTTCTATATTTCTGATGGACAGTTTATTGTATATTATGCAAAGGAGGACATTAGCTTGGCCTCATAGCTCTGTTGGTAGAGCTAACAAACAGCATCCAGAGTTTCTTGGGTTTAAATCTTGTTGAAGATAATATTTTTTCAAATAACCATATTATTTTTTATTAAGGGATTTTGCAATTCTGACAAAGAAAATGATGGCAATATGCAACCCTCTCGTCACCACTACTTAGTCCATTTCTGAACTAATTTATCTGTGGTGACCTATGCAACTCCTCCACTCCAGAAACTGAATGTATTCTCACTTAGTAGTACTTTTTTAAATATAGTTTGTAGGGTAGATTTATAGTAATCAAATACTTGGGTCAGAAATATAGTAAATACCTACATTTTCTCAAATAAAAAATACATATACTCAGTTTTGAAATATACAAGAGCAAACGTTCACCAGTCTGCATGTTCCTCCACGCTTAAATACGGTGCAGGCGCAAGTTATTATATTGGGTTTTTTGGAAGAGCAAATAAGATAGAAATTTTTAAATAATTAGAATGTTTATTTGTACAAAATAAAATTATTTAGAATGTTCATTTTTACAAAATTAAAATATCTTAAAATTGAAAAAAATAAAATTTCTTAAAATTGAAAAAAAAAAATTGAATACCAAGACTTAAGTTATTTAGAATACATCCTTAAGCGACCGCGCCATCCATGCGACGTGCCCTATTAGTGGTAATGGCAGTAGTGCAGTCCTGGCCGAAACCCCTGTTTTATTTAGTAAATTTAGGGAGTCCAACTTAAAAAAAAGGGCGACGAATGTTTGTTGGAAATCACCTCTAGTTTATGTGTACAAAATTTCCTGCATGTCCATTTAAAACTGGCGGTGCTGGATGCTTTTAAAATTCTGGTAACAAGAACAAGAACAAACTGGGATCAGCGCCTTGTGCGGGCCCAAAAAGTAATCTACAAAGACTATAAGAATAAGAACTATGTTACTTTGAACCATTCTGTCTATAAATATTTTTATTGTTACAAAAAATGTTTTTTACAGTACAGTAGTATGATATTTTACAGAAAACCTTTTTTTTTTAATACTGGAATTAGCAATAAAAGCAGAAGAAAGTTTGTATTGTGTTTTATGAGATTTGATACATTGTGAAGATACAAATGCACTAGCTGACACTCAAACAATTGATAAACAAATCACTTCATCAAAAAAAATAATAGCAGTTGATAGCATAGCAGTCATCCTGCTATACCTGTAAAAATATCAACATCCTGATGTCCTCAATATTCTTTGGATGGTTGGAATTAGAATAAGCCACATTGGCTGCCGAACAGCTACTTTAGCTAGTTTAAGGTAGTATTCCAATAGCAAACCTCTTTAGTTTTTTTGAAACATAGTTCAGATGACCACCATCTAGTTTCCATTGACCACAGATGAAGCATAGTTTATGCTGGTATTTTGATGACCAAGCCAATGATCAGCTCTTTTGTTTTACTTTGGCACACTTTATTCTGGAGTCCAATGACCAACTCGCTTATTTTCGCTTGACAGTGTGTAGAGTGTAGTTTATACTTGTGCCCGATGACCAACTCGCATATCATTCTTTGACAATGTGTAGAGCATAGTTTAGTGTCCGATGACTAACTGGCTTTACTATTCTTTGACCGCATGCAGAGCATAGTTCATGCTGGTGTCCGATGACCAACTCCATTGATTTGTGAGTGGATTAAATTGCATTCCATGTATCAGATATGTATGACAGTTATCTGAAGAATAAAGATTGAAAATAATAACATTATTATAGATACAATATCTTAAACACCAATGGACATTAAAATATCCTTTTTGTCTTACAACTGCAAACCTAATTGGCTCTGTGTGGGGGGGGGGGTGTCTGGGGACTCAAGTTGGAAGATCTGATTAAATTAGCTTTCTGTGGATGGTGATACTCATGGTCATGTCTGTGAGACAATTGATAAAAAGTTGTAAAAAATATGCAAGTATTATGAATTGCGGAATGGATCATTTTCCGGGAGGTTTGCAGATGTGCGGGAGGCCACCCTGATTCCGGAAGACTCCAGCGACTGGTGGGAGACTTGGAACCCTTGGGGTGGAGTTAGGCAAGCGGAGATGCACTTACTAAGCTTTAAAATATTCTTCATCTCTTCAGGCTCAATGAATTTATCCCAGTCATGTGTTCCCTTTGGTACGATGCTAAGCAAGTTCTCAACTGCATATACCGCAAGCAACTGTGACATCGTTGTCTTGTTAATTGTTGTGATAAATATTGATCCACTTTCCTGAAAAATGAGTATTTATATCAAGTGCTGGTATTTATTTATGCAGGAATTAAAAACAAATATAAAGCACCACAAAAAGTTGAACAATTTTAAAATAAATAATGGCATTTATTTTAAAATAAAAGCTGGTAAAGGTCTTAAAGTAAACTAAGAACAATCTTTATATTAATCAGTACAAGGTAGTAGTTAGTAGCCAGATTTTATGGCCATTCCTACAAATTAAAATTTTTTTTTCGTAAACAGAATTATTCCAAGTATAAACTCACCCCCAAAGTGACCGAATTATTTGTTCAATGGATGGGCTCACACCCAGGGAACTAAAGTGTATAGTGGATTAATTTATTTTGAGCACAAAAGTAAATAAAAAGAATTAAAATATACCTTCAGTAGGGTACAGCAGGGTTGGATAATCTCTTCCTTATTTGTGATATGCTCTACGACCTCTGACATCACAACAGCATCATAATGACCTGTTTTGTCTGCTAGTAGATCATTCACTGAACAATGTTGATATGTCAGGCGCTCCATTAGACTGGGGTCCCTGCTGGCGTGGGCTGCAGCAGCACTTATGTTTTCTGCTACAAGGTCTATCCCTGTAACATTTGCACCTAACCGAGCAAGAGGCTACAGAGACCAAATTTAGAAGAGAAAAATATTAATATTTTTAATAGTAGAATAAAATTAGAAAAAAAAATCTCAAAAGAGGTTTGTCAGAAAGAATACATTACTAAATAATTTCTGTAATGTGTTTTATGCTTGGTAATCCATGACTAGAGAATATTGAGTTCAGCCAAATTTTTTAAAAATGTTGCTTGTTTATCATATATGTTTTAAAAACTTTCATAAAAGGTTTTATGAAAGTTTTATATGAAAATAAATGATGATCTCTAAATTTCTGGAAAGACTACAATGATACTTTATAATAAAGCGTCAATTTAGTAAATTAATCCAAAATCACCCTGACTATCTGCAGATCTTTGCAGATTAGTTAGAAGAGTTGCACTGGTTAAAAAAAAATCCTTGAAAAATAACACTTTTACAGGTTCTGGTTATACACTGATGAGATAACAATCATCCTCTTGTGTCTTTTTGTTAATGTAATCATCCTGATGCTTTGATATTGTGATGGCTGTTTGATGCAGTGAATTAAGTGTTAATTTACCTCACTTAGTAATCCCCCTCCACAGCCAACATCAAGGACATCAAGCCCTTCTAGAGGCCTAGAATCTGAACTAGATGCGGAATACGGAAGTAAGGCATCGCGTACGAAAGGCACTCGTAATAAATTCATGCTGTGCAGAGGTTTAAATACACCGTTATAATTCCACCACTTGTCGGCAAGTCGTCTGAAGTGTCTTAATTCCTCTGGATCCATTGCACCTACTCTGTTGGCACCTGTGCATAAAAATCTGGAACACATATTTTGAAAAATTAAAATAATTAATTCTGTACAGCTTTTTATTATTTTTAAAATTTATGTGACACTTTTTAGGCAATACGACCAAACATCAGTCTTCGGCAAACTGAAAAGAGAGGAATAAAAACAAGCAATCAAGCAAAGACACACATGCCCAGTGGATTGCCTAGCAAATTGAAGATGTCACAGCATAATGGCCAGAACATTAGATGTTTGAGTCCCCTTTTTTCTTTTCTTTATAGAGTTGGCTCACACTCACACCATGCTTGGAGAAAGTACTGTGCAGAATTTCCTTGGTGTTGACCTGTGAAATTTAAATGGATGGGAGAAGGGAAAAGAAACATGGTAGGGGCCTATTCTTTATTTAGTCTTACAATTGTATTCTAAAAAAAAGGGGGGGATTTTAAAAAATCATGTTCATCATTTTTACATGGGTGAAGTTGACATGGTTCACTAGTCTTAAAATCAATTGAAAGATAGCCTTGTTACCTGTTACATCATTTTTAGGGTGAAGTTCGGACATGGTTCACTAGTCTTAAAATCATTTGAAAGATAGCCTTGTTACCTGTTATTATGTTGCCCACATTTGCTCAACTGATACTGCTTTGTACTGCGTAAAATATGCCCGCCATATCTTGGAAGCTTCATTATTATTTAAGGATTTAGTAATATCTGAAATAAGTTTGAAAATCAAAATAGTGACTGAAAAACATGAATGGAATTATTACTATCCATCAGTACAGTGTCAGTGGTGAGTCATAAATATTATTAATAAAATTATTCAAGCAGTAATGAAATACAACATTAAGTATTCACAATCTGTATTATTATCTTGGAAACAAGAATTACCTTGTATAACAGCTTGTATTTATATATTTTCTGTAAATTTTAGTGCAGGGCTCTTTCTTGCCCAGGGGGCCAGGTTACAGTACTCTTTGTTATTGAAAGCACGCCCTCTCTCGATCAATAAAAAAATGGAATCGTACTTTTATAAACATTGAGCGAATTGGCGAGAATGGCTAATAATGCAACGTGTCCTTAATTTATTAATTTTGTACATTCGCTTAACGCAGTAGTAGTTCCGTAAAGAAGGTACAAGACTTTGGTCTGTAAGTTCGTTATTTAATCTGCTTACTTAATTACAATACTTACAATCAAATTGTTTGATTAAGGCTAGGCAGGAGGACTAGGCTAACGCAACTTAACTAAACCTTGAAAATGAGACCACCGCCCCAAACGAGACGTGCGCTGGAGATACAGCAGTCGACGGTGGGGTTGGTTTATACAGGCCCAGCCTTGCGCAATGCGTATATTCGTATAGGCTGTTATGTTATTCTGTATGGATGGAATCGTTGAACCATCTTTAAAGTCGGGTAAATAACTATATTTATATAGTTAGCTATAGAAGAGTGGAAGTAAAGGGACTTACTTTGGCCTTATAATATGTTGTTTGAAAAAAAGAAGTCCATCATCAATCAATTCAATGATTCAACCGTGGCATATGTCTGTTTCCCCATTTTTTTACTGTAGTGTATGATGCCCCAGGGTGTTCCTTGGCAGCTGGGCCTACTCCTTCTGGTTGTACCTGTTCAGTACTTTCTTACCACCTGGAAACCAACCAGTGATCTTGAACGGAGAGATACTATTCATCAGTGAGTAACAGAGATGTTAATTTCATTTTTTTTTTAGCACAGTAAAAAATTTAAATTGCATGATAAAAATCACTCAAAAAGTTGTGTGATAACTCAAGCTGTGTAATATTTTGGAGATATTTTGTGACATGCTGCATTCCACAAAAATCATCCTTTATTTAAAAATATTCCATTTGTCATAAAACCTGGAACCCCCAAAACAATTAATACATTTGATGAGATTTTAAATTGGCTATTACCACAAATCAAACAAATCTTCACTGAGTTAACAACCTGAATAATATGTTCCTTATATTGATTACCAACCAAATTAAGGGCTAATGCAAAAGATCACAAGAACTCTAATATTATATATCTTCCTTGGTGAGAATAATATTTTTTCATTATAATTAAAATTGTTGCATTCTTCTATTGTTTCAGAGAGGGTATATTTTAGAGATGCATGGATGGACTTAACTACATTTTTTATTCAGTGGGTGTGGAATACAGCGTTCCAATCAAAATTATGCATTGAAGCTTAGATTAAGACCGTATTTCTAAATGAATATATTGTACAACTATTCTATTCCACAGCACAATCACTAAAAGTTTGGCTTTTGTGCAACATGTCTAAATGAATATGTTGCACTTTTTGTCAGTGTGTTGTAGAATAGAATCATAATAGCCTAAAGAAAAGAAAATTTAACTACTGCTATAATTACCCTTTTTTGCTGTTATATTTTACAAATTATCCTAATACTAGAAGATGTTTAAAATTGTATTTATTTCAACCATTTAAAGACTAGCGTGGAAATTTGAAAGTTGGAGAGCAAACACCTTTAATGCAGTTACATGGAAAAAGTGGTTTCAACAGAAGTATAATCAGATTGTCTACTTTTTAGAGGGCAGGACACAACCCATATATGGTGATGATGATGAGGGTGAAAGTCCTGCTGTAGAAGTTCTAGATTACCTGGATAAAAATGGACACTTTGCAGGTGAGATTTAGAATAAAGAAAAACAAACCAAAATAACTTTCTCACGGAACACTGTTTGTGATGAGCTACTAAAGCTTGAACAAGGGGCATAACCCATAACTCTCAGCGCCGTTGTGCTTTGCTTATGGGTGTGGTCTATGGATACTCCAGCAGCTGTAAAGCTCAGTAGCTTCATGTTTACATATTCCACAATGATGAGGTAGCACCCTACTCGTCCTATCGGTCCAGTGGTTATACAAGCCAGAATGTTTCACTGGACCTTGCATTTTAAGTCCTAACCCAAGAAGACTTGGTTGTACCTACCAAACCCTGAGTGGGGAGCAGCTCGAACTAGCACCGATTTTAAGCCTGTAGTTACTGTAACGGTGTCCCTGGGCCACACCCACTTGTCATGGTATGATGAGCTACCCATCAGGGGAATGCTGATGCCACCACTTCATGATAACGATAGAAATCCCAATTAATAAACACTCATCTCTACCTTTGTCAATAGGATCGTCAGAGCCAAGAATTAAGCGACCTTCCAATGTCAAATTTCGAGTTGGTCAGGTGATAAAACACAAGGTTCGAGGATATCGAGGAATCATTATTGGTTGGGATGAAACTGCCAAGGTAATGTTTACTGATGAAAAAAACTTTATATACTGTATAATGTAATTTGTTACTAAGATATTTTAAATAACATGCAGATTATTATCTTTATTTTACTACATTTTGTATTTTACTACATTTTGTAAGTTCACCAATATATATATATTTTTTACAGGCTCCTGAAGATTGGTTTAGGCAAATGCACCCAGCTGACAAACCGGTAAAGATTTTATAAATTAGAAATAAGTATTTAAAAAAAGCATTGTACATAATTATATTAATGACTGTGAGCATCCACTCTTATAGGCTTTCATAATGTATGCATTGTAAATCGGTTTAAACCACTGAATTCAGTTCAGAAAGCCAGGGATAGAGCTGACGGTTGGTAGTTAAGGTGCTTACCTTACAATCTAGGATTCTTGGTTCAAACCCTGTTGGATGAGAAACAATAAAATTTTTTTATTGTGTAATACATAAATCTATTTCTATTTATATGCAAAAAGCTATTTATATATTTGTTTTATATTATATTTGTTTTAATATTTGTATTATTTTTAATTTTTTTTCCTCTTCTGGTTTTCTTTACCCTCTTTCTGATTTTCTTTTTGTACACTTGAGGTTTTCTTTGTTAAGCTGTCCCATTTTTAAGCATATATTTGCTTTTATTAAGACTGCCTCCATAATGGTTTATTAAAACAAAGAATGGACCTTCCCAAGGTTCCACAAAACATACGTTTGTAGGACGTGCTTTTTCCTGGCCTCTTTCTGGTTGATCAGAAAGGTCTATCAGTTCCATTGTGTATACTCATACCAATATAACAGCATAAATATTGTATTGCAATCTACTTTTATGTCACTAAATTTGCAGTTGAGGATAGTCAGCATAAATGTCCATTATAAGATCATTCTACAGTGTATTTTGTCCATTTGCTCAACAGCATTGGAAAAAAATGCCGAATTATTCAATCTTAGTGGATACTCGCGATATATCAGCAGCACTAATTACATACGTTCCTCAAGAAAATATAGAAGTGATAAGTAATACTAGGGTAAGTTTATTTTCAATGTCTTAAATTGAGGGTAACCCTAGCAAATTGCCTTCTAGCAAAATGCCATTCACAATTCTCCGCTACAAAGTAGCTTACTGACTGGTTTTCTTGTAACTTGTAAGGGGCCAGTTTTGCTAGGGTAGGCTGGTATCTGCTCTTGAATGTTTGTTTTTTTATTTGTGCAGTTGTTCTTGCCAAAGTTTGAGCATTAGCTTGATGTTTTTTACAACATAACTTTTTTTTCTCTTTACATTTATCTCTATTCAGATTCTCCATCCACAAATAGACGACTATTTTGAAATGTACGATGGAACCCGCTACCTGGCAAGGCCGTGGCTCAAACACATTTATCCTCATGATCAATGACATTCAATCAAATGTTAAATTTAATTGTTATAAATTTATACTGTTAGTACAACTATTGTGAAATGGTGTGGCACAGCAGTTAAGTGTTTGGGCTCTCACATGAAAAGGTTGGGTTCAAATCCATGTTGTCGCCCCCACACTAAAATGTGTACCTGGTAGGTGGAAATGATATGTACTCATTACTAGCTGCAACGTATGGAATACTTACTCAGGGTGTGTGTTCCATAGGTACTTGATGTCTGGGGTAATAATCAAATACATAGCAGTTAATACCCCATTCAGACTAGCATCGCATTGCAATCAGTTGTAGCAATTGTGACACCCAATCGCACACAATTGCAAAGTAAAATTGTGTGTGAAAGCTCACCAATAGTAGTCGATATATAATCGATATCGCAATTGTTATGATTGTGATTGGGTGCTACAATCTTTATTACTCCCGATTACCATGGAATCCGATCGCAACGAATCACAACAAATTCCACAGGCACTGCTTGGCTAAGGTCAGTCAACATAGGCCTAGGCCCTAGAATGTAAAGTTTGTTTGTGTTGGTCTGAATGCGTTCATTGATTGCGATCGGGATTAATCAGTTTTGGATTACCACCGATTACATCGCAACAGATTGCAGCAAAGTATAGTCTGAATAGGGTATAAGTCTATTAGGTTATAATTATAAGAGCAACAATTATCGTTACTTATATAGCGTATATATAAATTTATTTTGGCTACTGAAGATTAATATAAAATGTAGGATATACACAATATGTTTTGTGTAAAGCACTGTCCTATTTCATTTGACAAAAACATGTGACATGCCTAAATATGGTCATGATGACATCACATCATAACCATATATAGGCACATCATGACAATATATGGGCATACAAAAATTCTTTGTCAAAGAAAATTTGATAGCGTGGACAACATACTGGTACATACTGTTATTTTTCTTTTTGTTTATTACATATTTTAAAATATATTTTTATTCTGTATGTCTTTCATATAAAATGTGCATAGTATCATTTTCTTTTATTATTATCTTCAATAAGTTTTAATTTGTTTTTCCGACAATGTGTTGCCAATCTGGACTGTTAAAATGATTTAATATGTGTAAGCCTATTGAAATCACAAGGCAAACTAAAACATATTCTTTGCTGGTTTGAGAGAGTTCTTGATTGTTTGGTCTTTATGGATCCAGCTATAAAAATGAGAATCAAAGGAAGTCCCTTCCCCATCCCATCCTGACCCCATCCCCATTTTGCATATAATGAATTTGCGTATAGATAAAATGATGACGACAAATTAAATAAACACTAATATACTATTAACCTTTTTTATTTATTAAAGTGATATGCAGAAGAAAAATCATGTACATTTTAATTGTGTATTACTATGGTAATAATTCATAATAAATTAGAATCATCTTGAATATTATATCTTGTGTTCTCCATAAGTGCGTTATACTAACTGATTTACTCATTTTAACGTAACCTTTTCAAAGCACAAAAATACATTGGTCCAAAATTAGCGCTTAAATTTGGCACAACTATTTTTCCTAATTTTGCTCGATCATGAAAATTAAAGATGCCATCACAACTGCGAGTCAAAGGTGAAAGGTCGACTTCAGTGACGACAATGTCATGTGTTTGTAAACAGGTGTGCACTGCTTTCTGTATCACACGTTCATTCTGTTCGGATGACATGGTGCAGGTGGAGTAAACAACAGTTCCACCAACCTTCACAGATCGTAATGCTGCCCTACACAAAAGAAGAAAATATTGATATTTTCATTAATAACACTATTTTTGATTGGCCATGGCTTAGCTTTCGTGAACCCCCAACAACGCTTTTAGCCTGGAATAAAGTTTTAAATTTTTACAATCGAAAGCTAAACATTGTATGTTATTGATCAAGATTATTAACTTAACACATGCACTGCCACATCAATTTTTCAGCCCATCTATATCAAAATAATATTTTTACGTACATTAGTAATTCAGTTTGTAAAGGAGGCAGCTGGTTCTTTTCTTTGAGCCGCCTTGGATGAAATATGTTGTTGTCATTTTCATTAGCTGATAGTCGGTCTGTAGTACACGGCACGTCAACGAGAATCTAACAAAATTAATGGTATACAGTAGTTAAAAAATATTTCTGTTTTTACGTTTGTTATTTTTTTATACATTCCATTTGCTTCAGTTGAAACTAGATTGTGTTGATGGTTCCAACAGGGACTGGGTGTTTAGAAGGCATATTCTAAGTACCACCACTGTTTATTGTAGAATATTTAACCTTTCACATTTCTTTAAAAATTTAATACATTGTGAAGTGAGTACCTTATCATATGTGTCTGGCTCCATATCTCCCCAATCTGTCCCGTCAAAACCTGTTAACCTGAAACTCTCTTCATTATCAAGCATATCTTTAGGAATGTAAAGTCTCAACACATCTTGCAATCTTCTTCTTCTGGAAGGTGTTACCTCATTACAAATGATTCCACCTGTGAAAAATGTACAGTTAAACTTGCTTAAGTCAACTCTGCTTAAGAATAATTTCTAAGTCGATCTTATATTACATGTCACATTGTTGTGTTTTCCATTAATTAACGACCTGTAAGTCAAATTTTTTCCAAGTAAAACAATTTTTCAATGCCATTTTGGATTCGACTTAGGCAAGTTCAACACATTTATTTGGTCAATAAAACAGAATAAACAGATATATACAGTACATAATTATACACAACAGGTAATGATCACTCAAACAAGTTTAATTAACATTGGGTCCTGACAGGTTGGGAGGTGCAAGCTGTGGTAATGTGTTGATATTTTATTTTTACTCAGCAATTTTTGAAGGGGGAATGTCTGAGTGCTGTAATTTTTTTCTGGGAAAAATAATTAATTTATAATTTTATAAACATACTCACTTTCAGAATCTACACACAAATGAAGTCTACAGTACAACATAAATAAAATAATGTAGACATCCGCAGTACCAGATAAATGAAGTGCTGTGGACAAATAAGTAAGAGGAGTAATTTTATAACATTCTGATCTAACCTATATGCATAGTTTGCAACATAGCAACAGATTTTCCCCCTGGGCCTGCACACATATCAAGTACAGTGTCCCCTGGCTGTAGATCCAAACATAAGACTGGCAGAAGGGAGCTTGCATCCATTAAGTAGTACTCGAGAAGGCTCTTAGTTCTGGATTCAAACTTAGCCGGTGGAAACCTTCTTGTCGCCGACCCATCAAACACGTAGCATTTTAACTGTTCGTTAACTGAAAATGTTTTCCTTTCAACTGCGATATCTACGTTAATGTCGCTGTCGTCCACCAACTGATCTTGTACAATGTACTGACTCATCTGCTCTGTGAATCCTTCCGGAATTATGTATTCTATTTTTGGAGCATAGACAGCAGGACTACTTTGGTGGTCATCTTTTGGATTACTAGATTCCTCGTTTTCTTCGTTCTGAGGTAGCGGATTTGCCGCAGTTATGGTGTCTAGTCTTTCCGTTGAATCCTTCTTTACAATATTCTCATTCTGAATTTTCAATGATGCTCTTATTGACTTTAGAACATCTTTAGCACCTAATTCTGATAACCTTTCTTCAACTTCATCAGGATTTCCATAGTTATTTATCAGTGCACCATATTTCTGCTTGGAGAGTAATGCGAGACGTATGGATGGCCACTTCTCCTCAAATTGAGATTTATAATGTCTGTCGAAGTGCTTCAGCGCAAGTTGAGACGGTTCATATTTACTCTTCATTGAATCCTAAATACAAAACACAAGAACAAAGAATACTATGTTTATTGATCAGGTCTGTAACTGTGGCACATGTCTAAATACATTTTCGAATGCATGCATCCAACATTTGCAACTCTACTTTTAATAGAAAACAAAAGTGAACAAAAAAGTCAAATTACTGAGCAAATCAATTCTAAAGAATATCTGTAAGTCTGTTTAAAAACTGTATAAAAAATATATATCACTGTAACTACGGAGCATGGACAGGTCATAGTATTTAGTAAATGTTTACAATTCTAATTTACAATGGAGTTACATGAGATCATGCAGAGATCTTAAAACAAATCTATTTTGTGCAGGGGAAAGCAGCAATGTCCAATCGCAATGAGCAAATTTCACTACGCAAAAAAATGAATGCAACAACAACTTACTGTAATCCACCTGAGTTTCTTTTTCCACCTTTTGTGGACTATAAAAGTTAATCCATCTTTCCTATTCAGCAATTTTGCTAATAACGCAAACCTAAGCATTTTCTAAATTTATAAAAACATGAAAATTTCCTCGGTTAAACTACTTTTCTGTTTACAAAAGCACAGAGTACACGTTTGCTTGTTGACCTCTCATTGCTCTTTACACTTTGACATTAACGAAAGGGGGTTTTCCCAATTGTTAATGACGCTCGGTATGTGTATCATCATTGGTCACTTTCTAAACTACTTTATTATAATATCCAATCAACATCGATCTTACGTAGTCATGAACACGTCAGATAGAGCCTGGTGGTCAGGAAAAGGAGGAGAGCACTGTCTTCAGTACACAAAACTTCTAATAAATCGAACATAATGGCTCAGCAACGTTTTTCAAACAGATGTCCTGGTAAGTTCACTCTCAAGTTACATATATTTTGCGTTTTTATTCAGTAAAACTACAACGATGAATTAATATTCTCGTTTTGGCTAGGCCCGGGAGTCGGGACTAGGCCTAGGCTAGGCTAGCTAGGCCTCATTATTATTGACTTTGCCTCCTTGCCTGCTCCAACCATAAAAACATTCATTAACAACTATCTAGCTAGGCCTACCCTAGCCTACCTGCTCCAACCAAGTCCAAGGAAGTCTCTATGCCTGATGTAGCTACTTCTACTTAGCAGTAATACTAGGCCTACTACACTACCACGGAGTTATCAAATTTCTAATAAGTAGGAGAGGCATATACTTACTTACTTGTTTACTTGAATGCCTGTTTCTGATATATTTCTACAACCAAATCTCATTAAATTGAGGTTTATGTTATTGTTCATTAATATGATGCAATTTTTGTTGCAGCTGTGAAGAGGCTAATGAAAGAAGCACAGGAGTTACGAGAACCGACAGAACAATACTGTGCATTTCCATTGGAGGTGCATAAACTTTGAAAACAATTTTTATACCTTGTTAACTAACAGTTCTAAGAGAAGGGATGTAACATTTTGCTTTCCTATTTAGAAAAGTAGTTTTACCCATGCTTAAAGCATCAAGATAGAGGAAATACAAACAATAGTATAGTTTTATTGATAAGTAAAATAAATTAGAGTGCTTCAGGTAAAAAGTAATTAAGGGCACATTTTAGATGCTCACTCGAGATCCCATCACATTATGTAAAGACTGCAATGTGGTGATGTAAACAGTTCAGAAATTGAACTGATAAATGGTTGATTGAATTCTGAGGAAAAGTAAATATAATGTCAAGAGATATTGTAGCATGTGGTATAAACAGTTTTTCTAACATTTTTCATGATGGTAGATACTTTTTGGTCATTTAAAATACAAGTAGTCATCATTGGTGGGAGAAAGGTTCACAAAACAAGGAATGAAAATGTTGCATCTCCAACTTACAAATATCTAGAGAAAAATTCACGTCTCCCTCTATGTTAAGACCACTTTTGGGACTGGGGTTTTCATGGTCTTTAGCAGCTTTGGTCTTTAATTAGAAAAAATATTATCAAAAAGGTGTAAGATAGGCTGCATTCATTTATGGCTGCTCAAATGTGATCTTCAATTAGAGGTGATCTTTAATTAGAGGGAGGCCGGTACTGTAGGCTATGTTATCTTATTAATTTTTGTAGTTTTCCACACCTTGTTGGAAGTGGGAAAATACTAACGTCATCATTCATATAAAGTCTAATCCAACATTACACAATCATTTTGATACAGTTTGATAAGTTTTTTAAAGCTTCAATTTTAGTTTTATAAACATGTTTCCAGTAGTCACCCTTAATAATTGAATTTAACTTATTATAGACTGTAATAATATTTCTAATTCAATGTAGTTTTTATCCTCAACTGTAGGATAATCTATTTGAGTGGCACTTTACCCTTCGAGGACCTTCAGGCAGCGAGTATGAGGGCGGTGTTTATCATGGCAGGATAACTTTTCCTCCTGAGTATCCTATGAAACCTCCAAGTATTATGCTTTTAACTGTAAGTATTATGCACAGTTTATTAACACTTGAGTATGTTAATTAATTTAATACTTTATTAAATACTTAAGATTTTAAAATTCAGTTATTATTGTTGGAAGATTCTGTAATTGTATTGCTGGAAACATAATAGAGTAATTTTTTAATTTTTACAGCCAACTGGTAGATTCAAGGTGGCAATGAACATCTGCTTGTCAATATCAGGACATCATCCAGAAACATGGCAGCCATCTTGGAGTAGTATGTATTGTATTTTCTTTCTTGATTTTAAAATGATACAAAAATCTATTAGCTATTAAATAATACAGTATTAATAAATTCATAAGTATCAACTTTCAGTCAGACACAGATTGAAACCAATTGGTTTTAACTGATTTATGAAGATCACCATAAGTATTTTACTTTTTCATTTCCAAATATCAATTTTACACTAACAGATCAATATTCAAATAGGCATTTATTTTCTTTCCTTCTTTTAAAATGAATAATAAAAGTAAGATAAGATACAAAATCAATAAACATAGGCCTATATTACCTGTAAATATAACAATTAAATAAACAATAAAATATATATCTAGTATAAGGATAGGCCTAACAAGAAAACAGCTAATCAGTTTTATTTTAAAAGATATTAAATAGGATGACGGATAAACATATTATATAATTCAATTATTTCTGATTTACAAATAATAAAATATAATATTTTGATTTATTTTTTTTTCTTTTATTAACCTAAAGAGTAACACAAGACGTCTTATTTGAATATAAGCAGAAAATGAGATAAACAAGGTGAAATAAAATATAAAGTGAAATTCAATAAATTACTTGTAATTCAATATAATAAAAAAAGAACATTTTATTGCTTTTTATTAAACTTTAGAAAGGAGTATAATAGACACCTTGAGTATAAGAATTGGTATTTTGTTTTTAAAGCATTAAGAAAAATAGTGTAAAGGGACCCAATTTGGTAAGCAAATTAAAGAAGGAAAGAAGGCTATCCACAAAAAGGCAAGCGTGTGTTTGTGGAAGCCTACAAAAAAGAATGAAAATTGGAGAAGAACACATAAAACAGAAAGAACAAGTCAGAGACACAAACAAGCGCACACACACACACAAGTGCACACACACACACAAGCACACATACACACGCAAACACAAACAAATACTGCCACAAAAAGGACAAACACATTCACCAGGGGAAAGTAATAATGCAATATTTTGAAATATTAATATTAGTATTTAGAAATAGGAAATTATTTAAGTTTTTAAACAAAGGTTGATTTAGAAACCAAATTTTTAATTGTTAAAGCGATATTATTCCAATTCACCGGACCACTATATCTGATGGAATGTTTAAGAGCGGTGAGTCTTGGTTTGGGAGGATGAAGATCATGGGCAATACGAGTGTTATTACCAATGAATTGATACAGTAATTTTTTTAGAATTCAAACTTTTCACAGTACAGTTTGGTGTTCATGATTAAACCAGTTTTCTGTTTGTATTTTTCTTGAACTTTTAAGTACGAACCGTCCTCCTGGCTATCATGGGATTCATGCCAACCCATGGTGGAGGGGCCATTGGATCACTTGATTACACCCCTGAAGAAAGAAAGGTTCTAGCTAAAAAGTAAGTAACTCATCAGAATTCGTATTATTTATTGGAAATTTGTGTTAGATATTAAAGAAATTCAGATTTAAATACTATTTTGATGGTTTTTTTAAATTATTTATTTGTTGTAGCTATAAGTTAATAATATTGCATAACTTGTTGGTAACAGCTTGTGTAATGATGGTAATCAACTTTTGAACAGAACTCACTTGGTGTAAGTGGTCCAACGAAGGGGTGTTGAAAACATTTTGATGTCAGAAAATGGTGCATTTTGCAAGTGCAAAACTGATATTTTATTTTATTTTTAAGTTAATTTCTGCCTTATGAAATTTTAATTAACGAAATTCTGGGAAACTTTCTGATCAAAGGAGTATCAAATTGGGCCTACATGTTCATTCTTCAATCCCATTTGAGATTGCCAACATACTGCATTTTATATCCTTTGGCTATTACCATGTTATTACAATATTATTATTATTAAAGCTGTTTTAATTATGTGTAATGGTCACATTGCTTTGTATTGCAGATCCATGGATTGGCAGTGTCCAGTTTGCAAAGTGAAGAACAAAGATATTTTACCTCTAGAAACCTCTAAAGAAAAGTCAGAAGAAACGAAAAAGGAAGCTGCTATACTTGTTGCCAAAGTTCAACTCAAGGTATATTCCTTTTATTACATTCTTTACATCTTTTATCTTTCCTTTTTTTTAAAATTATTATTGGGTCAAAAAACTTTTGTTTTCGCTGTGCACACCTAGGCCAAATCCAAGAGTTTGTGGCTAACCCTCACTCACCCTATGAATAAATTATCAATGGTATTTAAAAAAAGAATCATTTATTGGGAAAAAGTAAATTAGAGTTGAGCTGTGGCTTGGTGATTAAGATCATTGTCTTCCAATTTCAAGGCTGTGGGTTTAATTCCTGTGACAATAGGTTTTTTTTTCTCATGATTAAAAGGACTCCACTCCGAAAATCGTGCAGGACAGGCAGAGGTTTGCGACGCATGTACTAGCTAAAACGCATGTACAAGGACACACGTGTACAAATTTACCACCATGTTTAATATAAAAACCAAACAGGCTTGGACAGGTTTAGGTCACTGTTGTCTGTTGAGACGATTTTATCGTGGAAGGCGCTCTACAAATATCCTACCATTACCACATCCACGAATGGGAAAATTTAGTTTAGCATAAGCCCTAATGGTGAAAATCTGTTAAAATCCTGGAGAAATACAAGAGAAATTCAAATTCCGGGAGAAAAAGTGGAATTGCCAGGAGACCGGGAGATGAACCAACATTTCTGGAGACTCCAGGGCAATCTGACTTGGGAGCCTGTATACCGTAGTTCCATTTTCTGTAATTTGTGAGTGCCCAAAGTAAAATTTTATGTTTAGAAAATAACAAGTAAAGATATAATTAAACAATTTTATTAAGTTATTTATTCAATTTATATGCTTATGTAAATATATATTTCTTGGATATTTATTACTAGAAACAAAAAGATGAAGAGGAAAGCAGACTTAAATCTGTAGCACAAACAGTAGGAGCAGAACATCCGGCTTTGGTAAATGGCAATCCTGGAGTTATTTCGGCTGCTGCATCAAACAATGCTGCAACTTCACCAACATCATCTTCTACTACATCCTCTATACCATCATCATCATCTACAACTACGCCAATATCTAGTACATCTCCCCTACCAACAAGTCAATCATCATCCCTGCCATCATCCCAGTCGTCTTTCCCATCTGTAAACCCACCAGTAATTCACCGTAGGCCAGTGGCGGCCTCCACCCAGCCTGGGGCAGCAGCTCCAGCAGCCAGAGCGACTCAAGCCCCCGCAAGGCCGCAGCAGCAAGGCTCTAACAGAGTTTTTTCCTTCATTCTGATGGTAGTAATCAGTCTTGCAATAGTCCTACTTATAATGAGGAGACTCTACATTACATACGAGTATAAATTTGATACGGAATTATGAAGACGTCACTATCGTTGAAATTTATTTTAATGGTATAATAGACCTATGGTTTATAGAGAATATTTTTAAAACATTTAATATCAATTTCATGACCAACCATTTAAATATATAACCTATTGATTTTATAGTATAACAATATAAATAAACAGTAATGTTAAAGTTGTGGATATTAACAAGGTTGAACATTGTGTATTGGATTAGAACGGATTCCATCATTGTAAAATATACCAAGGAATCAGACAGTAAACCAGGAGACATTTACCTAGTCTTTGCCAATGAGTTCTGTAATGTTTACATGCTATCGACCATTTTGCATGAGACAAGCAGCTTAAATGTCTCATCTGAAAGACAGTGTGCTATTGAAACTTGCATTTTCTTTGAGCTGAGACAAAAGAGGAGCATAGAGAATTGAAGTTGGGGACCAATATGTAAGGATCTCCTTATTCCATTATGATTATAAATGCAATGAAAAGGGTAACATTAGGGAATACAGAGTGACCACTGACCATGTAATAACATAACGTAAAGTTCTTATATCGCATGTTTAGAGGTATTATATTTTTTCTGGTTTCAACATTTAATATTAAGTAGTTATCAATACCAAAAACAAAACACTTCAGAAATGAATTGATTTTATTGTTTAGTATCTTTAGATAAAGATATAGACAGTGATATTGCCTTTATCATAATTAATAATTTTGAACGGTTCTTTTAGCAGAATAATATTAGGTGATACTGTGTTACATTCCATACTTCTATTTTGCCAATTACTGAATGTGATGGTGCAGAATGGGTTGTATTTGTAAAGGGTATATTAGCATGTGAAACAGGTTCTATCAATGTTTGAATGGGGGTGAAGATTTGTATGTTTATGTAGGTGGGAAATGTATATGTGGTGTTTGATAGGCATGTGCAGGTCCAAGATGTTTGTACCAGTGCTTGGGTGGGGTGGAGGAATCAAGTCAATCAGCTTAGGACCTATGTTCCAAGGGGAAAGCGTTGGGGTGTTTCCTTACCTGTTGTGTAAGAGAAGCGCCTATATCTTAGCCAGTTTAAATCTGTTGTCAGATGATTTCATACTCTCACCGGAGAAGCGAGCACTCTTTTAACACCCCTAGGCCTTCCACTAACGTGAATGTTTTAATGGGTGTGTATAAGCATGTGCACATTTGAGTAAAGTGAGGAAAGTATAGGTTGTACTTGTTAGCAGGGTGGATTTCTGGAGTACATACAGATGGTTGTGCATTAATGATATAAGTTAATTATAATAATTATTTTCTTTTATCATGATCTTCCAGTTTGTTACAGGTCTTTATTACTTACTATGCATCACTAGTTTTATTTAACATTTGTCTGAGGTTAGGTTAGGTGGTTCTTGTAACAAGAAGCCTTATAGTGTTAAACTTATCTTTATGGTAAATGTATCTGTAAGAAGCCTTTAATATCTTTATGCCAGATTTCGACAGAGCTGAGGTTTACAAACTCTAGCTATTTGTAGAACTTTTATAGTAGTGCGTTGTATACTTAAAATCTCATTTAGTATTGATGCTCCTAGATAGTTTTAGAGTATTAGATCTAGAATTTTGAGGGAATAGGGATCCCATTCAGACAGACTAAACACAATTCCTGATGGGCACTAGGCAGGAGTTTTTAATACCTTGTTTCGCGAACTTATTTTTTTAAAGATTGTCAGAGGAGGGCAGAAAAAAAATTAAAACAAAATGTTGTTATCTCATTTAGCAAATAGTTTCGCCAAAAACATCCAGATGTAGGAGAAAATAAAAATAAAATGTTATTGTTGAATGTAAACAGTGTAGTAATTGGATGGTTAAATGATTTATATAATTAGGAAGAAATATAGGTATCTTTTTTTTGAAAATTTCTTATATTTATATAAATAAGAAAAACTTTTATTTTTTTTTCTGAAATTTCCATTTTTTCATGGCGACGGGTGCGCCAAAAATAAAATGTTATTGTTATTCAAAATCATCATTATTGGCGGGCGCTGGGTTTCACAGAACAAGGTATATAAAAAATCTCGCCTTAGCAGTGTAAACAATTGTTGGTATATTTATATTATATACATATTACTCGGTACTGTATTAGTAATTTATCCTCTATTATTGAAATACAATTTAAATGCATATACAGTAAATTTAACGCTGAAACAATTATCAATAATATTTAGTTAATGATTGGGTAAATAATCCATCTTTATTTAAAAAATAGCATCGGTGTATACTTAAGAATACGACCCCTATTATTGGTGTAAAATATCTTGATTTAGAGTTCTGTCTATACTGGATTACATTTGGTTTTATTTAATACAAAATTACTTTTCTTTTTCTTTGTAAAAAATAGTTTAAATGTATTTTATGTTTTATTGAATTTACAGTCATATGCGGCAATAAGATTAAAATGTATTTATGAGTATTATACAAAGGCATTGAACAATTTTTTTCTCTGTATGTAGACAGTGCAAGTGACAGAAAAAACACCTGCACAATGTTCATTGCTGGAATTAATTCAATAGAGGCACTTATTTTTAAACATTCAAATTTGTCATTGGTTTGATTTCCTGGTCAACTTGAGATCTCTGTTAAATATACAGGTGCATAGTCTATGGCATTAGCACTCAGCTGCAGTGGCGTATCTATGGGGTGCACGCCTCTCCAAAAAATACTCATTCTCCATTCGCCCAAGTTGTTAAAAATCACCTAAAATTACCTTATTTTGTGAGCTAGCATGCTCCCTACTTAATCGAGCCCCCACATGACCTTTGCACTCCCCCATTTCAAGACTCCTACAGTAGATACACTTTCCGCCACTGCTCGGCTGACAGATTATGTAAATATGTGTTTTTGCACTAAATCCCTAAATTTCTGTCATTGTGGATTAGACTGCCAATTATTGGGCAAATATTATATTTTAGAGTATTGACAGTAGCTTTAGATTTTGACACTACATTGATATTTCAAGAGGATGTCGCACTCAGCACGGTTCAATATCGTATGGCAGTAATACAGTGGGCGAGAAAACAATAACAAATGAAATTCTACAAGACGTATCAAATTATATTTGAACAAAATAATATCACCAATATCTACAGGTACATACAGTAAAACGATAAAAAATTTTCAAAGCATTATTAAATCTTTATTTTGTAATGCATTTGCTGTACAGGTGTTTCCCAAGTTTGGGATTTATGAAAATAACTGGCCATCTATATTGAGCAAACAACGGATAAATGTTGCCCTAGTTTATTATTATTATTGGGTCAATTCAACAAAAATATCTGAAATTTATATGAGAATGTAATCATAGATTCCGGAGTTTATCTGATGATGGGTTTTTAAAACACAGTTTTATATACAGTGTTTTGCCCATGCAAAGTGACATTTTTGAAATCAGAGTGGATCAACAATTTTAAATTTGTTTCTGTTAAATAATTTTTTAAGCCAATTCTATAGTTCATTTATTACTTGTTTACTAGTATTCCCCAAAGTTTTCTTCAGCAAATGCTATCAACTTCCAGGGAAACTGAGGCAAAGCCCTAATTGTAACCGTGTCATACTTTTCAAACGGTGTGAATTTCAGTGGGTGGTCAACCCAAGCCTCATCAAGCCTTAAACAAATTCCACAAAAGCATAGCTCAAAATGAAAAAGAATTTCCTCTTTTAAATTTATCCTAGGACGTTGAAATTTAAGTTTAACCCCATAGCCACAAGTTGAATGATTTCATATCTAATTAGAAAAACACATTGCATGGAACAGATTCAATACCATTAATTATTTTTAAACACCTGGATCATATCAGCCAACTGACGTCTACATGAGGCATGTTGTGGCAAAATGGCTAAGTTGTAGCAAAAATTGAAATTCAGGTTATTGGTATTTAATACCTGAGTATGTGATCTTTAAAATGAGGGGCCATACATTGAAATTGGACATCTCAAGCCTAAGTTATTGGAAAATGAAAATACAGCACTCTAAAGTCAAGATAAACATGATTTTGAGTAATTGCCTTTCAAAGTTATTTGTGCATTCATTGTTTAATAGAATTAACTATCAAAATAAAGTTAAACAATTTGTTGACCATTTGCAGAACTGTAATACTTTAGGACATGATGACAATCTTCGCAAACCAGGAATCATCTTAGTGGCTCTCTGTTGGACTTTTTCTAAGAGATCTTGATCCATTTTATTAATAGGATTCACAACTGTATTACAATATTCTAACAAGGGACGAATCATTGTTTTCATCAACAATCATCACTAACCTCATTTAGTTTTGGCTGTTAAAATAAAAACCAAAGGGCAAAAATCGAATAAATTTATCAAATAAATTTTGAAAAGCGGCATATTTTAAATATTTTGTGCTTTCTCCTTGAAAAAAAAAAAAAACCACCACATTTTTTATCAGTTAGGCTTGGGCAAACGCAACATTTCTTTTGGCTTCAGAATAAAACAGTGTTTGCTTTGTACAAGTTTTAATGAATACAGAAACTATTGCATTATTCATACATAGCCTCATAAGCCCGTCTCCCAAGTTCAATATAATTTTCCTTCTCTGACGGTGTCATCTGATGTAAAATGTCGTCTGTAACATCTTGGAATGGCATTGGTTCACCATTAACTGTCACCATCATCTCCTCATCTTCTTCCTCATCATCATCACTGACCATATCTACAGCCTGGTAATCAGTTCTCTCGCTAATTCTGGTACCAAATGCCGCATCTGCGGTAAACTCATCATCGGACGCGCTTTTATCGCTTTCATTGTCACTTCCATTATCAGTCGGGAAAGCGGAAGCCAGGGCTCCGCTACCTTTTTTTTCGTGAGCCAGCAATGTTTTCATAATTTCTTCGCTGTTGTGGGATTTTGTTGGACTCTTTAATTCAGTAGATGAGGCAAGTTCAAATGGTTGTTGTTCTGTTATAGCACCATCTATCGTGCTCTTGGCTAACCAGACAGGCATCTCCTTGGGTTTGGGCCCTTCCTTTTTACTCTTGTCTGCTTCTCCAACCTCAATTGTAAGACTCTGGTTGTATGCAATTCCAGCACCCATACTGTTACTCCATCCGCTATACCCTCGATTAGTATTTCCACTTGGCCTGGGGGGAAAACAATTAACCTGTTAACAATTTATGAACTTGGCAACACAGCAATTACATAAAAAAATATAGTATTTTATTAATAAAATTCAAAGTTTCAATAGAAAATCAATTAAATATGAAAGTGTACCGAGTTTTGGTAAGTCCCCCAACATCTGGTGTTGGTTCAAGTATTTCTGGAGCCAATTTAATGTCTTCAACTTGTTGTAAGAGTTCATATAACGGTTCAACTTGACGAACAAAGTCCTTGATTTGAAGCTTGGCAGTGCTAGGAACATTACTTTCATCCTCTTGTACAATCTCCCCACAGTGTGTGCATTTCATTTCTCCTGTATCAAGATCTAAAAGGTCCATAGCATCAAAATCATTGTAAACTTTTTTACATCCAGGACACGAGAATAAAGCCTTGCACGTCGAGTCTCTTTCCTCGCTCTCTATTTTGAGTCGCATTTTGTCCAGTTTATATTTTACAATATTAACAAAAACTTTGTAATTGATAAAGTAATAATTATGGCGATTTGTTCTTCCATCTGGTTGTGTTTCGACACGCACAGTCTGTTTAATAATCTTATCATTTTTCAACTGATTCAAAAGGAGACGGAGGTGCTTTTTATCAAACTTAAGTAATTCTGCCATGTCGTCTTCCTTCATGATCTGATTCCGGACTAAAAAGTCAATAACAAGAACATGTTCGAAGGTGTAAAACCCACGAATTATAAGCTTTGCAAGTTTTTTCAATTCATCCGGAACTTGTGTTAGTATATCTGGATCATTTATGGTAGACATGGCTGGAAGAAAGAAAAAAATTAAATATTAAACATCAAACGTTTAAATAACATTTGTTTTAATTTTTTAGCATACAGTTTTGTAAATCATTGGGGTTTTTTTTCAGGGTGATGATAGTTGTGCTTTTGAAATTGAATCTTAATTTGTTTTATTTTATATTTTATTTTTAAACTATATTAATGGTAAAATAAAATATAAAAAATATAAAATACAATTTTATTTTAAAATATTGGCAGTTTCAGTCTCGCTTTAATCATACATCATGTCATAAGGAAATATTAATCCATTATAAAAATATTCATGTTTTTTTTTTTTTTTTTTTTGGTAGGCTAGTATTTCAATATTGTGATTTATCATTCAGATATTTTTTGTATGCAATGATATGATTGAAATAGATATATATCAATCAAAGCAAACAAAATTACTAAATATGCCTATACTGTATCTAGCCTACACTCTCAAGGCCTACATACAAAAGACCAAGCTCCAGATAGCCTAGGCACTGCACTGCTGGCGGCAGGCACAGACCTCATAATGGCCTAGCTAGGCCTATTGACTGACTGTACTACTACTACTACCTAAAGCCTAGGTCTAGCAAGGCTAGAGAAAAAACATAACAATATCATATGAAACGTTCATGATATTAGATGACGTTCACAATTTAACCAAATTTGTAAGAAAAACGACCCTCACTTGATTTTACAGAACCAAGCAGACCTAAATTCACTCGCGACACCACGAACGAAAACACGCAAGAGATTTATCACGTTTGAATCATTGGCTAAAATACTAACCGTGCGGCCCATGTATCTTTAAAGATACGTTCAGTAACGAGAAATGAACATCACACACAGGCCTAGATATGTGTAAACTTCTTTCTAATGTATAAGAGAATATTTGATTAGTATGGTGTACTACTTTTCCATATCTAAGAACCCATCCGAGAAATATAGTTTGACAAGTTGATCCACAACTGTGATAAGGTACGTATTTTATGCAAACCCAATGGTTGTGAGTTAGTGTTGATGTGTCAGTTTGCTGTATTAAAATTCGTTCTTTATGACCACTTTAGAGAAGGTTCGTGTGCTGGTTGTTGGAGACTCGGGTAAAGCAATTGATATTCCTTATATATTTCCTTAATTAATTACTGTATTTCGAATTATCACCGTATGAATACTACAGCACCATTTGCAGGCTGGATGAAAGGGCATGAAACAATTTGTGTATGCGCAGCACTTTGGCTCGGCTCACCATACGTAATGGTTTCAAGGAAGTGATCCCTGTGGAAGAATACAGTATTAGAATTATACAAATCCATACTAGACCCTAGGCCTAGTTATTTTTTAAGGTTAGGGTAAAGCCAAGTCGATTAATCAGCGCGTTGGGATTTTGATCACTTTGGGCCTGGCGTAAGCATTGCCACGGCCAATAAATATTCATGCTGCAATGTTGTTTAATATTATACAGTACTTGGTTCTTCTAGAAGTACTACACCAAAAGTAAATAGTCCTAGCCAAGCCTATATTCTATTTATTTGGGGGAATTGTGTGGTGATACATACTATTTATTATTAGGAGGAATGGGGTGGTGATGCATCAAAAACTAATTCAGAAGCTTTATTTTTAACAAAAGTACATTAATAAATAGATGACATCACAGTATTTAGCAACAAACCTTGATCCATACGGTAAAGTATTTTAATTGCGTGGATGGTACATCAAAAACCAGCACAAATTTGTGTGGGAATCACTAGGAAAACAGGTGTGCAGAATTGTAAATTCTTTATAATATTTTGGTTATATATCAAGAGGTAGGTCAAGACTTTGGAATCGATCCTTGTTTTCTGAAATGTGCTGTTGGATTTCTTTTTTTTTCCATAAATGTTTTAAGATCCTTTTGCAAAACCTTATTACAGAAAAAAAAAGAATGCGGCACAAATAAATCAAAACACTTTCCCATTTGTTGAAAAGAAATACTTAATGGTTATTTTTAGCAATAATTTTTAAATTGTTGTAAGGTATAACCATTTTTTAAAACCATATAAATAAAAGGAGTTTTCTTTAATTTGCAATTAAATTTATATTGATTTTTAGGCCTAATTTTTACACAAAGGATACAGTATATGTGGCAAAAACAAGCCAAACCAGTCACTTGTCGCAAATCCTGTTCAGAGATAATGGCCAAAACATGCTGGAATGTCAAAATTTTTGAAATCTATTTTATTGCACTAAACTAACATTTATATATCTATACATCATGCTATGCTGTTATTTTCCCAATTTTTAATGTTAAAGCAACAATTTTTTAAGATTTGGTGATAATCTTTGCCTGAGAAATGCCTGAAATCATAAACTTTGAAGGCTGATTTCTCAAATACTGTACTATAAACAACTCTATGTTAAATGCTTGTAACTTCATAAGGAAATGTCGGATTTAAAAGATTTTTTTACAATTTTGTAGCTCTCATTTTACTCTTTTAACCCTGTATTAATAACTAAAAATCAATTTTTGCGACCAGTGACTGGTTTGGCTTGTCTTTGCCACATATTTCATGCGCAGGCCTTTTTACAGGCTGGATATTCATGACATTTGATATTTTCTCTTATATTTCTAGGTGTCGGGAAATCATGCTTAGTTCATCTTATATGTCACAATCAAGTTTGTTCAAATCCTTCATACACCATCGGTGCTGCAGTTGATGTCAAGGTGATCTAAATATTTAAATTTTACTTCATATTTAAAGTTTACTAAATACTTTAATACCTTTAAGTGTTTAGCTAAATTTGCTCTCCTGGTTAATTAAATTAATGAACAGTTTACACTACAATGCAATAGTGAAAATATCAGTATGCTGTATTAGGGAAAATATCTCAATAGCAAATACTATAGTTTAATAGTAGCCTGTGGACAGCCAGATATCTAGTGTAAGGCGCATATCCCCAGAGAAAATTTCTTCCCCAATTTGAGGAGCAAAAAAAAAAATATACTGAAGTAGTTAAAATGATTTGGATGTGAATGAAAGATTGTATTGAATTATATGTACCCTATTTCCAATATCTAATTCCCCTCCTTACTTTCCTGACATTCCCCACACATTAAAACCCTTGATTTGCTCATGAATTTGTAGCTTCCTAAGTGTATTGTTTCAGAATCCTTGGTCTTGTAAAGGTAACCATCTGACTATATAATTTTTGATTGTTGGTAATGACTTGTGAATTGATTTTTTCTCTTCCAGATACATGAATATAAAGAAGGAACTCCAAAACAAAAGAGCTATTTTATAGAGTTATGGGATGTTGGTGGCTCTGTCAATCATTCTAATAGTAGACATGTTTTTTATAATCAAGTTAATGGTAAGAGATGTACCAAATATACTGTTGGGAGAATGAGATACAGTATAGTAAAGATTATTTTTGGAAAGGTTGATGATAATATGTAAATTGATGAAAATACAGTAATAATGTATGAGGATTGATAATGTTAAGTAAATATGATGGTGTATTTTTGATGAGATTAGAGTAATAAAGGTGAGAATGAGGAATGGTCGTATTGTTGTAAAGATGAGGGTGATGCTGAGGAATAATGGATATAGACTGATAATCAATACTGTGTAAGAATGAGGAAGGGTGCTGGTAGTGAAGAAAAGGATGAATAGCAGTGGTGGTGTCAGGGGTTACAGACAGTGGTCCATTTATCCCTTACAGATAGGCCACACCTACCTCCTACCTGATAGCCTTCCAGTTGGTGCCACCCCTGAAGAATACAAAAGATGATAATCTTAAATATGAGGAGGATGTTGATAAAAATAGTAAAGATGAGGAATAATAGTAAAGAATGATAGTCATCATGATTGTGTTGATGAGGAATACTGAATTGAAAAATGGGAATAGTATTAAAGATGAGTTTGAGAATGATTGTAATCAATGAGAATATTTCCAGATGTTAACCTTACAAGTGACCAGTATTTTATTTCCCGATTTTCCATACAGGTATTATATTAGTTCATGAATTAACAAATAGGAAATCACAGCTGAATTTACGAAAATGGCTCGCTGAAGTGTTATCACGCGATAATGGGGGAGGAAGATCGAAGTCAACATCGTAAGATTAACTCATTATGTTAATTATTGATAAATTGTGATATTATTATTATTATTATTATTTTACCTTCACCTTAATATCTTGAAAAAACATAACTAAAAATAACTTTAAAAAAATTAGAAAATAACAAGGGCCACCCTTTCCTAAATAAGGAATATTTGTTAATAGTAATATGTTGGTCTTAAGCTCAATCTACACTATTTAATTTTATGCGACAAAAAATGTGATATGCCCATATTTGGGTGTAATATGACACCATCTATCATACCCATATATTGGCATATCACTCAAATTTTTTACATACTGCATATGATAGTGTTGACAGTGTTTTACCTTGTTGAAGTACCTGAATGGTGAAACCAGCATGCTGTCGCTAAATGTTCAACTGAGTATAATTTGCATAAGAATGTGTCAGTAGTGTATACTTTAGTATAGAGAAGCCATAATACTTTTACTCATAACTTTGGCAATAGAAAGTTGATTACAGTAAATGACACAGCAATTTAAGCTTATAATGTGGAGAATAAGAATACAGTTGAACCTGCCTAAGTCGAATCCAAAATGCCATTGAAATATTGTTCGACTTAGATAAAATTTGGCTTACAGATTGTTAAATAATGGAAAACACAACAATTTGCCATGTAAAATAAGATTGACTTAGAAATTATTCGACTTAGAAATTATTCGACTTAGAAATTATTCGACTTAGGCAAAGTCGAATTAGGCAAGTATAACTGTGTATTAAAAACTCAATTTTCATTTGTTGGTCACTGATGCTGGTTCTGGAATGGCAAGCCTGATATTTTATGCTTTCCAATGTATACATGTATATGTTTTGGCTATATCGTTTGTTGTTGATAATGTCAGTAAAGTTGATTGATTGATTGATTGATTGATTACCCTTGTAATTTGATCAAACACCTTTTAAATGCATAATCAGCTCCCTGTGGATAATTCCATGACGCTGTCCAGTATCTTAGTAATCAGTGCATTGGCAGTTTAATCTACCATCTACCCACTTATACTTCTGATCATAGAGAGAGACCATGCCTTCGCCAAGGACATTAACCAGTGATCAACTTCAGATTTGAACCATAAGATTTTTAATGAATGGCTGAACCACTACCACTCGGCCACATTCTTCCACAATGTATTGTTTTGCCTCATATGAGTACACTTTTCAAGCTATTGTAGTTTATAGAAATCTACATTTGTTTTTTGGGGTTTTTTTTGGTTTTTTGTTACAGTGAGTATGACCCGGAGCAGTTTGCAGGATGTCAAGTACCTATTTTAGTCCTGGGAACCAAAGCTGACCAAGTGGACAGTAAACGTGAAGCTTATCTATCAAATACTTCTCTCATAGCTGAAGAATGCGGGGCAGATGAGTTTAACTTAGTAAGAAGTTTTCTTTTTATAATAAAGTTTATTTTAATTTAAATTAGAACAAGAATATATTTTATTGGCAATAAAACACGCAAGTAATACTATTCCTAAATATACAATCCATAGACTTCTACTGTTGGCTGGTGATAAACCCTTAAGCATTGTCCGGATTATCAAATTTTCTTTGACAAAGAACTTTTGTATGCCCATATATAGTCATGATGTGCCTATATATAGTCATGATGTGATGTCATCATGACCATATTTAGGCATGTCACATGTTTTTGTCAAATAAAATTTGATAATGTGGACAGGACTTTAAAGTTAGCTGGTCACATTGGAACTTATGTTTTTCTTCTTTTGTAGGATTGTTTGAATGTAAAGCACTTAGCTCCTGGTTCTACAAATTCTGTGAAATTATCCAGATTTTTTGATAAGGTGAGTTACTGGTTGTGGGTGCACATTTCACTCTGTCTATCCCCTTCACAATATTTAAGTGTCTCACTATCTTTTCCTGGTACTGGTATTTTCGTATTGATGTTTTATTATTCTTTACTACGCCCAGGGGCGGATTTGGGGGGGAGTAGCGGGCGGCCAGGCCCTAGCCCCATCCCCTTATTTGGGAGGTAAAAAAAAGAAGAAAAAAAGAAAAAAAAATGGTAGCCCAGAACATCTCAAATGTTATTTTCGGGCGTCTAGAACACAAAAATTTCGCGGGGACTCCCTAGGACAGTTTAGTCTCGATCGGCCAAACTTTCGGACCCCCTTTTGGTCCCCCCTTTTTGGACATCTCTATATCCGCCTCTGACACCTTTTCATAGTCTAAACTGTACATGCAACGTCAATCGATATAACCCTATGCTGTGTATATGTGGTGAATGTTTCTTGATATTGATTGGCCTTGATATGGGCATGTGCATTTCAGACTACGAAATATCTTAGTGGTACAGTATTATGGTATTGTTAACTATGTATTTTTTTATATAACTTTACCATGTTTCCTAGTGCATTAAATTTGAGGAAGGGTAACTTTACCCTCTGCTAAATTTTACTGCTTTTCAAAGTTAGATACATACACAGTCAGTTTATCAAGACTCTGTCTAAATATTGTTTGCTACTCCCAAATTGCTAACTGTAAGTAAGTATTAATGTCTGTTGTGGTAAGCCTCAGCATTGTGTGGTAGGGTGGCCAGTTCCTTTCCATGTTGCCTTTTTCCTCCCCAGTAGTGAACTACTAGGGGGAAACCAAAATGCAACCGCTGCACCAACCGCTCCCCATCCCACAATATGTTTGAATGTACATGAGGATAAATTGGGCACATAATGTGCATTTAAATTTAAAGTATGCATTGCGTGAGGGGCTGTCGATTTAAGTTTATTTACTGATGGAGGTATTAATAGAAGCAAGCATCAGTACCTCTACTCTGAACGCATACTTTTGTCAATTTGCTTTCAAACTTTTAGGTTGTTTTCCGGCGTTTTTATCAATACCCAGCGAGGGACTCTCCCCAAAAGGTGTGCAGGTGATTACTAACTTAGGTTTTGGTGTGGTAGCATGGTTCTTCCTCTTGTGTGTATGTTTTGGTTCCTTCATGCCCTGTACAGACTATCAAATTTTCTTTGACAAAAACATGTGACATACCTATATATGGTCATGATGACATCACATCATCACCATATTTAGTCACATCATGACTATATATGGGCATAAAACTTGAATAATATTTGATAGTGTGGACAGAGTTTCAATCTGTCACACCTGTTATGTTTGAGCAGTTCAAAGCTTATAATTCATGTTAATCAACCAATTAGCATAATATTGTAATTAATTCAATATTGGTTATCCATCTGTCATATGCACATGTAATTAGCATATTAATCATCCAATTAGCATATGATAGCCAGTATTGATTATACAACTAGCATTTTGTTGATTTAGCCATCATAAATGTGGATCCTTATTTAATGTTTTTGTCTTCATGCCATTATTATTTTTGTTTGCATTATACAGTGCACCCTCAAGTTTGAGACCCCTCTAATTTGAGACAAATTTTTAAGATAACCAAATTACAATCGTCAATCCTTTAACACAAAGCTAACCCTTTCAATCGAGACGAACCCAAGACCACCCCAATTTTTCAGGTCTCAAAGTGATCTCAAATTGGAGGGTGAATTGTACGTACGTATAATCACCTGTGCGACACCAAATCGGTGTTTCTATGTCTTGTTTTCTGGTCTTGAACGAATGTTTAATGTATGCATTTGTCACTCCACACTTGCTTACACACCATATCAAAAAAATGTATAATTTACTTTCACTTCCATTCCTTGTGATTGATTACCATTCCTTTTGATTCCTTTTATTTCATATGCCCATCCCATCAATGCCGTGGCCAGGATTGTGTGAGACAATATCAGGGTGGCCCCACTTTACGCATAAATTCAAATAATGTGGACCCATTTTCTTAAAAGTTGACCCATTCTATACAAAATATAAGAAATCTGGACCAATTGTCTTAAAGTTGACCCATTTTATACAAAATATGAGAAATCTTGACCCATTTTTCAAAAAGTCATTTTATGCATAAAACAGCATAATTTACACCAATTTTTGAAATGTTGACCCATTCTTTGAGGACCCAATAGAAAAATTGTGTGGGACTGTCGCAATAGCTGGCTACGGCATTGCATCCCATATGCTATGCTATTCAGAAAGAATATTTATTCAATTAGCAAATGCTAATTATTTGAATATAGATCACCAACCCAATATTTCTAGTAATATATTTCATTCATAATTAGCATATTGATTGCCTAATTAGTATATGATACAGTAATCAAATTTGCATTGGGTGACAACTAGAATATGATCATCAGCATATGCTAATCAATAAGAATATTTAATCTCATTAACTTATGCTAATAGTTGGTTTTGATTAGCCAATCATAGAAACATCATCTTGTCATCACAGGAGTTGTCAATTTTATGTTGATTTTGTTTTGTGTTTTGTTTTTCTTATTAAAGATATGCTGTCATCTAAAGTTAATAGTTTATAAACAATTGAATTGCAGAATTTCAAAAGTTTATTGACTTTCAACAGAAAATTGGTAAATAATGTTCTTTGCCAATTAACAGATGTTTAAATAGTACCATTTCTATAGTTTTTCTTACATATCTGCCAACAAATATATTGTAGTAAAACATTGAAAAATATAGAACATTTTATGTTTTTTTATCTGTGACTTGTTGAAAGTTTATAACCTATACATGTAAGTGAGCAATTTCAACTTTTTAATTTACCTTTTTTCTTGATTGGTTTTTTGTGGTGTATGTTAAGTAGTAGTAATGTGTGCATGATGGTTTTAAAGCTACATGTTTTAGGTTTGGTCAAACATAATGTAGGAGAATTTATCAAGTTCTCTCTAATAATTCAGGATTTTGTGAGGGTTTTCTATTAAAATTGCATTCATTCACCATACAAAAATCTAAAATATATTGATATAAAAAATAATGGTGTATCTGTATATTTAATATACACCTTTATTTTTATATAAATATTATATAATTTTGTTAGGGTTTTCTATTCAAATTTCATTTATACATCATGCAAAAATGTTTATATGATGTAAATATATAGAGAAACACCTTAATTTTAATATAAAATATATTATATTATAACATATCCATAAAAAATAGATTGTGCTCTAAATACTTCATACATACTGCAAATTAAACTAAAATGGATCTTTCTGGAGTGTCAATCAAACTGAACAACTGACCAATCAGAACAGTGTGTTTGCGTAGGTGTGGGACCTTAGCAACAATATCCAAGGGGCGGCGCTTAGCAGAAAGTTCCATTGTTTTATCTGTCTTGGAAAAATTGCTGAATCTTATTTTATAATTTCAGGTGATTGACAGAAGACAGGTGAGCAGAGAGAGTTCACAGGTCGGTTACAACTTCAAACATGCTAGCAAATTTTAAGTTTGTTGTTGGATGTAAGTGCACGTTTGTGAATGCCATAGAGGGAGCCTTCATTTATTGTGTAGTGTATTTTAGCTGATTCTATATCATCTTTTTGTTAACGTGTGTCAAAATTTAACAGATATATGAAGGTTCACAAGTAAAATACACATGCACATACAGCCAACACTATTAATTTTACAGTGACGTAAATATATCCAATGCCTTTTTTTCAACTTACATGTAACAGAGAAATTATGGGAAAATTAAACTGTGGTTCTCTAATATGACAATTCACTGCCACATTATACACATTATATAACTTGTCTTGCAAAGTAGCATTTCAATGTAAGATTGCATCAGGAAAATATCATAGGAGTGGTGTATTGCCCTACATGACGTGTTATCCTACCAAAAACTCAGTACGTCCCCAAATACTTGCGAAAAAAAAACCATCACTCCTGATATTTTCCTGATGCAAACTGACATGGAAATAACATTTGCAGTACCTGCTGCTACTTGGGGATCAGATTCAACACTAGTCACTAAGCGCAAGCTCAGTAGTCTAGTGATTATGGCACCAGAATAGTTATCTGGAGGTGGTGGGTTCGATTCCCGCTTGAATCACTTGCAGATTTTTTTTGCAAGTATTTGACCCTGGCGGGAATCATGTTAAACTAAACTTACTGGGGCACTATGGGTTTGGTTACAATTTTATCTGATTGGAGGCAACTAATTTGTTCACTCTCTGTCTACGCACTATAATAATACAGTTATATAGAGATCAAATATAGTACGCCCTCTATATATTTACATATGCATACCAAAGATCTTATAAACAAAAGATAGCGTTCTACGCGTAATAGAAAAGTCGGTCAAGGTTCAAAAGTTTCCAATTTAGCAAGAGGGCGCCATTCATGCGCGATTATACCAAAGAGAAAAGTAATCAGTTTTGGAAGAGGGCGTCCTATCTGTTGCCATGGATCTGAGATGGTTCCTGTTCTGCTGTTCACAGGATTGATACCCTAAAGGTAAAGTAGGCGCGGTCAAGTGTCAAAAGTTGCCAATTTAGCAAGAGGGTGCCATTCATGCCTTATTACAGAATTTGCACGCGTAAATCGCAGAGAACGCTATCTTGTGTTTATAAGCTCTTTGATGCATACATACTTAATCCATTAAATTATATTATATATTGTAAATACTTTGCCGTGATTATATGTGTAACTTTGTATATTAAACAATGTATTGAATGTTTATAATATAATATACTGTACCAGACATTATCATATTATAATGTGTGTTGTCACTTAATGTATTTAATAATATTTTTGCGTTTGTTTTGCAGTTTGGGTCACATCAAGATCGACGTAGACTAAACAGCCAGAAGAGCTTCCACATGGATTAATACCTCATTCAGATCATGTACTACAGCCACTTCCTATGTTCTCATGTTAAACAAATGTAAAAGAGCAAAGATGTCTGTAGGTGTGGTTCTACTGCATATCGATATAGAAACAGTTCTCATTGGTTCCTAATTGGATTTCCAAAAAGGACCGTGTATTTTGACTTCACATGGAACTTTTTTATGGTGGTTGATATTGCATTAATACTTTACATATAAGATGTCATTAATACTCAGAACGCAATTCAAAATGACTGAAGAATTGACCTTTTATATAAAGGTATATTACAACAAATTTTTGCATGACTGAAAAGTTGCAAACAATGATGATTCTGTGGATCTGAATAATGACTTATCTATGTTGGAATTCTCCTATCTAGAGTATTGTGGTGGTACATGTTGAGGTGCAGGTGGTAGCTACTGTATGTGTACTGAATTGTGACCCTTAGCCTATCTTAGTAATATCCATGATCCTACATTTAATGGCTCAGTTTCCAATTGTAACATATACAGCCATGGAAATTAGTTGGGGAATTGAAGCAGGTGCCCTGGAAAATCAAGTACCTGACTTAACCACAAAAGCGTGATCAGAAAGTAAGATCAGTTGGATTGGATTTGGATTAGAATTTTCTTATTTAGCAAATAATTTTGCCAAAACATCCAGTAAAGGAGAAAATGAAAATAAAATTGTATTGATAAATGTAAACAGTGTGGAAATGGGATGGTTAAGTGCTTTAAATTTACATAATTATGAAGAAATATACATGTTTTTGGAGATGTCAAGGCAGCGGAGGGCGTAATAAATTTAAAGAAAAACTTTTTTTTTTTTTAATTTCCATTTTTTTGTTGCAGTGGGTATGCTAATTGGCCAAAAATAAAGTTTTAATTTTCTAAACAAGGTATAAACAAAAATGTCTCGCCTTAGGTCCCTGGTAGTGAAATTGGCATTACGCTGGGAGAAACATTATGACTGTTTCCTGTTGTAGACAATGAATATTCCTTACTCTTTTCCCACATGGTATACTGCATTTTTTATTGTATACATGGGCCGTATTGCACACAGGACCCGTGTCTTAGCATCACGTTCACACACAGTAGCTATCACCAATTAGCCAACTGAGTTAAGCTGTCTCCGTTAGTGACCTGTTAGCAACATTTCAACTAACATTACAACACTTTACATTAATAATAATTGGACACAGTGAAGCCCAAAGATGATGGTACTCTATTTTGACACATGGACCAAATGCAGACTTGTATATTGATTGATTTGTAAATTAATTGTACACTATGAACTACTGTACTCTTCAAACAGCATTAAATTCTATTGTTTTATCAATTGTTTAAGTCCATATTTTATGCTGATAATATATACAAGATATAAATAAATAAGAAATGTTTTTGATGAGGATTGACTGAGATATGAATAAATTGTATATACAGTACTGTATTCCATTAAAGCATCAATCCTTGTTTTCATGTTGTGTTACAGCCAACACGTTAATATATGTATCCTAAAGACCACACCAGTCATTCATCAAAATTGGGCAAAAATATATTATGTATAAACTTGTATAGTTATATAATAAAGAGTTGTATTAATATACATATATTTACTGGGTCGAGGGGCATGATTCAGATTGTAGCCTGAGGTAATCTAGTGGCTAAATTATATCCCGAAAAGAAGTCAAGGGACATACTACAGCACAGGTGGGCAAAGTGCGGGCCGCATGCGGCCCACCAGCTATTTTAATTTTTTTGCGGCCTGCGAAAGTGAACACTGTGTGCAGCCCGCCAGGCAACGTTGGCCAGAAACACCCTGTTTTTTCATGGCCTGACGCCGAGAATATGTAAAAAGTAAAATAAAACTGAGAATAAATTGGTATGAAAGCAGTTCTTGGAGGTTTTTGGAAGCACACTGGAAGCAACAAATTTGAATCAAAAATTTACTTTGGCCCTCCGACCGATTTATGCCCACCCCTGTAGTACAGCCTTCAGGACATCAAGAGCTATAATTTGAACTATTACCCGATACCCGATATATATAC